CATGTTATATTGCCATGCCTAGATTAGAATTTTAGAGTTCAAGCTATCGAGTGAGAGGATTTTTTTCAAACTTATATTAGTAATGAAAACCTTCAATGAAATTTTTTTTTTCCCGAAGGAAATCTTACCAGGAAGCTCAATGTAATAAAGCAGAGTTAGATAAATGAGGATAGAAGTCCCGAGAACTTTACTTATTGCTGCTTTTCCTTTCCCTGCCAAGCGCCCTGTCTTTGGAGCCCCCAAAGTGTTCCTCTGTAACCTTTATGGCCTCTTAGAGCAGGGCTTGAAAACCAATGATATAATCTAAGGCTCTCAAATTAAGAAATGTGAAAACTGAAGTCAGGGAGGTTCACTGAGTTGTCCAAGTTCACAGTGGGATGGTGGCAGAGCCATGACTTATGACACACGTTCTATGGTCCCCTGTTTAATATTCCACATAGTCCCATTTTTGCCCTCATATCCCCTCATCTCCGTCGGCGTTAGAGCGTGAAGGTGCAAAGAGGGCTGGATGTGTTAGGCAGGACCCCACAGAGATGGGTGGATGGGTGGCTGTGTTAGCAGACTGAAGTCTTTGGTCCAGGATCCCAGCCTGAGTGTTTTCACTTTATGCAATGTTAATCAGGGTCGGTGAATTTATTCACATGAGACTAATTTATAAATGATTTATAAATGAAGATGCCTCCTAAGTTTACAGTAGAGTGCATGCTTTTCCAGAGCATATACTTCTATTTTTCTGCCAATTGACTTAATTTCTGGTAGCCTTGGCTGCTAAGCAGTGGAAGTCTAATTCCTGATGGAGTGATTTAGTGCACAGAAGAGCTCCTTTCCCGTCTCTGCTCGGCCTTTCTATGGCTGTGGCTCTTAAATTCGCTCCCTACGCCACCTACTCCAGTGGCTACTTGTTATTGATATAGGAAATTGGTGTCAAAGCTAGTGGGGAAATGAGAAATACCAGTGAATACAAAAGTTGAGAAATGACAGATTTCAGTTGCAACAGTACAATTTTTTTACTTGAAAGTTTTGAGATCATATCTTCTCTGGCCTTTGTTGGCAGATGGAAGTTCTGGCCGATGGAAGTATATAAGATACAATAATATATACATGCAAATATGCTTCCAGCTCTTATATAGGTTTTAATGAAGCTCTTGAGAGCATCCCCATGAAGGCCAACATGTAGATTTTGAAAATAACTGAGAATGTCTCATTCCTTTCATCCTCACCAGTTTTCTAAAACAAGGCCAGTTTCAATGGAGAGAAGAGGCACATTCCGCCATGATGGTCCCATTGAACCAAGTGTGTGAGGGGTCCCATTGAACCAAGTGTGTGAGGGTGGTCCAGATGTGAGCTGTATGAGCTACGGCTATGACTTTCCTTTGATGTGAGACACAAGTTTTACCAACCTTCCCCAAACATGTCTTCCCATTTCTTGTGGAATTGTAGTATACACTTGTTTAATGATTGTTTAATATAGTAACAACTGTGAATCTGGTTTGCATGCTTCCTTTCCTTGGCAGAAATGAAGGGGGCCTCTGGAATCCATGCTGTTCCTATGGAACAAGGTCAAAAAATACCACCCTGAATTCATTAGTTGAGATTGGCTGCAGAGCATTCTAACTAAACCTTTATGGAGAGGGGCTTGGTGGAGCTGATAGGAGGGGCCCTTCTTGTTCTTACAGTCGATGAGGAGATGGTCAGTCAGATCATTCTTTCAGGGTTTCCTGGAGCTGGCATCTATGTTGGCAACATGACCTCTTGTGCATTTGGATTTTTTTCACCAAGTTCATAGCAGCTGTAAATTGAAAGATATTTGTCTATTGTTTTTGAAGACTAAAGGTATTTCTGTTTCATAACACATGTTCTCAGCATGGATTTGTCTGTTAACAGAATGAGAGATTTCTAAAGAAATACATACATTCAAGGATCTTCTTAATGTCTATTTCAATCCTGTCTACCAGGCTAGTCCAATGATTTTTGGGATCTTTACCGAATATGAAATTAATCTAATATTGCTTGTTCTGGATTTGGTACCATCTATTTATATTAACAGACTATGAGTAGTTTGTTTTGTCGCTGCCCACATGTGCTTTCCTCAGCCAAATAAAATCCTTTTTTTCTAATGACCTGGACATGATCCCTGATTATTTGAGAGTTAACCTTATTATTCATTGTTCCTATGATACCCAGTTTTAGTAACTATCTTTCTTTACTTATGTTGTTAAATTGGAGGTTGAATGAGTTGGAGAGTTAATGAGCTAGCTATCCAGTTTACAATTGGTAATAAAGGCTGAGGGTTTAATCAGCTAGTCTAATATTATCTAAGCCACTGGTTCCCAAATGTTAGTCCAATGACCATGAGTACGTTTTAGAAGCACATTCCTGGTTCTGTCTGTGGAGATTCTCATTCATTATGTCTTGATGTAGACCCCAGGAATCTGCCATATTTGGAAGTTCTATGGAAGATTCTGATGCGTAGACATCAAGTGTATGCACAATGTAATGATTGTAGTTTTTATAATAATAATGTTTTTCATCTCTGTTGGTATCTCAGATAATTTTAGAATGCTTTAACTGTCCTCTTAAATAGAGTATGATTATCTGAACATTCTGGGCTGTAGAGGAGAAGGAACATCAGGTTGGCAGTTGGGGATCTCGTTCTAGCCTCTGTGTTGACGTTTCATCAAGTTGGAGATTTTGCTCTGTCTAGGTATCAGTCTCATTCGTAAATTAAGGTAGATTACCCAAGATACTTTCCAGATTTCTGACATTCTTTGATTTGAAGGACTTTACCCTCCTAGGAATTGTATTCATAATCATCACTGTTCATTGTTGGCTATTGCCACTTCTAGTTTGGTGAGTGCCTAGCTGCTCAACAGAACATTGATCATCGCCTGCTTCTCAGGACAGCTGTAGTTGTCCCCAGATCCAAGACCGCTTCTCTTCCTTCTTCCTGCCACTACCAACCTCCCAGAACAGATTGAAGTAAACTATTCTCCTGGGAAACAAGCTCTTAACGTTGAGGTTTCCCTTAAGGAACATTCAGGTTGTAATTCTGACCTTTTCTATACTAAGCCTTGGTAGTTTTCATGCACTGGGCCCTTTCTGCAGGCTAGGGACACCTGTGCCTTTGGGCACAAGACGTGACTGATGTTGTAGTCTAAGGAGCTAATCTTGCACTGCCTCACCCCCCTTCAGCAAACCGTTTGTTTCCAGGAACTTCCTGCGTATTCTCTAGAGGGGCCGGTTGAGGCTAGGGGCAGAACATGGTGTCCCTTTAAATCTCTGGTTCTCAGCCTTTGCAGAGCATCAAAATGGTCTGTAGTGCTTTAAAAATTGTGCATGACCACATCACCCCACTGCCCGGGCCTGCTGAATCAGGCTCTTCAGGGTGAGATTGGACGTGTCTGTTTTTTAAAGGCTTTACTTTAAACTCCCCCTTCTGGAGCCTCCTCCTCTCCCTGCAGACTGGGCCCATGTACTGTTCCTCTGTCTTTTGTAATTATTTTTTGTTAAGGCAGGTATAAATAAATGGTGAGTTGTCATTAGAATACAGTAAACCATGTTTTGAATCTGTTGAGAAAATTAGTTGCTGTAAGACGAGAAGGTCTCTGAGGTCGAAGTCCGTTCACCTTAACATTCCCGGCACACTGTTTAGGCACAGGAACCACCACTAAAGATTTACTCCTGGCATCTGTCTGCAGTGGTCTGATGGTTCTTGTTTCAGCAACGTGATGGAGGGTAGTAACTCATTCACCCTTTCATTAAGTGTATTTTAACATGATTATTTCTTGATCCTCTATTCAGTGCAATTCACCAAATGTTATTGAGAACCTACAATGGGCTAGGCATTGTTCTAGATGCTGAAGATAGAGGAGTGAACAAAACATAAAATTTCTGCCTTCATGGGACTTTCTGTTCACCAAAATATATAGAGAGGGTCACATGGAATTTAATATGATGGAATTAAATGGTTGCATTATAGCATTGTGAAATATCATTTGAGGAGAATTCTTTAGAATTGGCCTGAGAATCCCTAAGATCACAAATGGAACCAGAAAATTTAGCTAAGCATGTAAAACCTGGATTAAATTTGCAGACTGTTTTACTAACATAACACGTGGCCCGTAGGTGTTCAGGTAAATATTTTCTGAAGGCAGAAAGAAGAAACAGTGGGCTCCAACAAAGGTAGCCACGGACACTGTCAGAATTAAAGTTTATCCTTTGATTTTGGGAATAAGTTTCCAGAGTTATTATTTGGTACAAATCTTCCTTTGACTCTGTGTTTTGAACTCCATGTATTTAATTCCATGTGTATGCAGATACCTTAGGCCCTGAAGTTCACAGTATTTTATCTACTTATTTCACTAGTTCAGCTAAAGCATTAATTTGAGCTGAATGCGTTATGTTTCAGACCTTGGGGGCACTACTTCACAAATTACTGTAAATTTCTAGACTCACTTTGAATGGGTTAACGCAGCTTCCCAGGTCATCTACTTTACTTCTGTGTTGTAGTTTATGCACTAAAATTATTTGATTCAGTTAGACATGATAGAAACATTTTCAATCTGCTTTTCAAAGAATTTAAATACTAAATTATTCAAATCTATTAGTGTGTCTGTTTTACAGGTGCTTTTGTAAAAAGGAAAACCGGTCTGTTTTTTTTGTTTGTTTTTTTTTTTTTTTTTACCATACGCAACATTCTAGGATTCTGAATGCAGGCTAAAAGATTGATAGGACTGCAAAGATAACTAATGAAAGAAAAACACGTTTGATACGGATTTCAGAATTTCAAGAGAACATGCAAAAAAAAGGTCAAGGGTCAGCTTTTGGTCCCCACTCGTGTTACTATTTGTGAGTTGACTAACTCAGAAAAGAAGTACATAGTGTGTGACAGAAGGAAAAAAGATATTCTGGAAATAATTATTAATGCTAAAATGTCTGCATCTAATTTTAGGATGCTTATGTTTGGAATTTCACATGCACAATGAAAATGTGTGTTTCAGGTTTGCGTCGAAAAACAGCGCTTTGAGAAGTTGATGGAACATTTCAGGAATGAAGACAATAACATAGATTTTATGGTAAGTTATTTCAGTACTACATTCAATAAAGCGATCTCAGTTTCAGCACTTTTTTCATAAATCTATTCATATTTATATTATGCATATATGTGTGTGTATGTATGTATATGCATATAAATGTTAGAAAGGACAGGAAATTGATTATAATATGCTATAGATCCAATCTAGAGTGTTCCTCTTAATCTGTATTTTCCTTTTATGGCACTTATTTCCAGTTTTGTTCCTTACATACACACTATAGTAAAGGTGAGAAGTTCTAATTATTTATAGCAAAATAGGGTGAAGCCATGCATTTGAGAAAAAGAAGTTAACTCCTGGTGCAAATGCCTGCACTTGCCTGCTATACCTGTTGATAGTGCTGCTTAATAATCCTGTAACTAGGGCCAGCCCTGTGGCATAGTGGTTAAGTTCAGCGTGCTCTGCTTCGGTGGCCCCAAGTTCACGGGTTTGGATCCTGTGTGCGGTCCTACACCACTCATCACCATGCTGTGGCAGTGACCCACATACAAAATAGAAGAAGATTGGGTCTGGCCCAGTGGTGTAGTGGTTAAGTGCGAGCTCTCCGCTACGGCGGCCCGGGTTTGTAGGTTAGGATCCTGGGTGCGCACTGACGCACTGCTTGTCAAGCCATGCTGTGGCGGCGTCCCATATAAAGTGGAGGAAGATGGCCACGGGTGTTAGCCCAGGGCCAATCTTCCTCAGCAAAAAGAGGAGGATTGGCAACGGATGTTAGCTCAGGGCTCATCTTACACACACACACACACACACACACACACACACACGCATGCACGCACGGAAGATTGCCACAGATGTTAGCTCAGGGCTAATCTACCTCAAGCAAAAAAAAGAGGAAGATTGGCAACAGATGTTAGTTCAAGGCAAATCTTCCTTAGCAAAAAGAAAAAAAAAGGAATCCTGTAGATAGAAACCAAGAATCTTGACCATTTTGCCTTTTGCATGTCCCAGCCAGGGACCTTCTCCCGACTTCTTAAAGACGAAAGTGCTTTGGTTTGTAGAACTGATTGTATGTATCCCCCCAAATTAATATACAGCAATGATTCCTCCCACTTGATCTCTTGCCTGCTCTAGTAATTCTGTGAGGGCAGAGTCCTACTGCAGATCTCCTTAGCAGGGTAGATCACATGCAAGAACATGGGGTTCAGTGGCAGGACTGTCATCTTCAGGTACGAAGAGCAAGGGGAGTTTGAGCGCTTCTGAATTCATATACCTAAATCTTAATCCTGGACTGGAGATGGAATCGACTAGAGAGAATTTCCCGAGGCAGATTACCCTGGAGTGCACCCAGGTCTGCAGGCTTTCTTTGGCCTAACGCTGGGAACTTGGGAACCTAGGAGATCTTACCTGGGCTTCCTCTACCAGATCTCTTCTAGCCTGGAGCACATACCCCAGTCAGTCCTTACACTGTCGACTCTTCTAAAACTCATGGTTACGATGCCAGGCAAAGTTTGCATTTGAATTGCTTCAGTGCTTGTAAAACATGAAACATAGCTTTGCAGATTTCGACCCTTTTATGTGAAAATTTTTTCTGGGTCTTCAAATTTTATATGTATCCTAGCCCTCAGCCCCTTCCAAAATCAGTGAGAAAGATGAATCCTTTATAGAGAAGCTTTTCTGTTCCATAAAGCATATTATTTGCTTTGAAAAAAGGTAAAAAAAATAAATATGAAACAAGAATGCTTTTACCTTGACTTTTTAATTCTTGTTATTAGAATTTTTTTGGAGTGTTGAAGGCTGATGTTTGCGCTGGTGATACATATATAAGGAAGTCATTCCCTGGCTAACCTACCAGTTTCTTTCCTCTGCCCTCATAGGGGGAACTTATTTGTTCTTTTAAGCTGAGGTTGCAAACTGGAGGGTCTCAGGCTGAAGCCAACCTACAGGCTTGTGAGTAGTCTGACAGTGATGTCCTCCCCCCCCCCGAATTTGGAAATGGCACATAAAAATACAGATTTCTGATTTTCCAAAACTAGAAATTTCTGGTAACACTAGGCCCCTGTTCTTGCAGAGTATTAGGTGCTGGAGCCAAGTAGCCCCTATTTCTTGAGTCTGAAGATACCCTTTCCAGTTCATGACAGTCCGCACCATTCCCTATTGTCTTACACGTGGCCCACCTCACTCATTTATTGTACCGACCAGATCTCTCTGCTATTTGAGTTTCAGCTGAAATTATAATTATATTAAGTCCTTTAAAACGCCTGCGCTCTTGACAGACGAGAGTGTCTTTCTTGTCAGTTCATTTATTTATATGTACATGCATTGAGGAACCTTTTTTAGAGGCTGCTAGTATATAGGTACTATGTGCTCGATTCATGTGTCACCCAGCAAATAGTTTCCTCTTAGGCATATCATAAAACTCAACAGATCATTTAGACCTGCTTTCAGAAGAGAAATGGAAGGATGCCAGCACCCAACTGTCTTTTTCCTTCAGAAAATGAGGCTTTTCATAAACTGTTTTTGGAATACAATTAAGTTGCACAACCTCCCAAACAATATATTCCTCATAAAATGTAATATAAATTTTTCTAATGTAGCATAAGACCTTTTTCTGTATTTTTTGTGGTCAAAAGAAAAGAAAAAACTGACAATCTTTTTTAGCTCATTTAACTATAGAACCCGAAGTAATTTTTTAATAAATTGCAATCGAGTCCTTTTGTAACCTAGAGAGTTTACACGTCTTCCAGGATAACCAATGTATAACGTATACTCAAAGAAGAATCTTAACGGGATAAAAACAATTTAAAAAAAGATAAAGGAAATTGGGTTTGGAGGAGAGAGGAAGAATAAGGCGATTTTCAGAGTACATGTGAATTTGGGTCCCTCAGTCATTTACCTCCTTGCAGGAGACTCTGTTGAACCACAGAGGGAAAGCATTAGTAAGGGATTTTCACCATAAATAAACTGACTGTCACTATTAAAAGCAAAATAGACCTGTTGAACTCTGTTCTGTTACTTACCAGTGTGGGGACTGGTTTTCTCTGTGGCAGGTCTCAGGACCACTGATGCAGTTGTGGGGAGACAGCAGTAAATCCAAGGCTTTTATGGAATGGAAACTGGTTGATTGTTTAAAATGGAAAGATGGGTCAAAGATTCTGTTACGATCCTATTAGTATGGTGGGGCCCACAGTGAAATTTTAGAGGTGATTTCTGTAATATACCTGCAATAACTTACACAGTTTGTTTGATATACCTATGACTTTTTAAAAATAGCTTTACTGAGATATAATTAACATACCATCCAAATTACCCATTTGAAGTGTACAGTTCAGCATATTTTTAGCATATTTGCGGGGTTGGGCAGTCATCACTGCAGTGTAAGTTAGAACATTTTGTCACCCCCGAAAGAATCCCCATACCCATTAGCACTCACTCCCCATTTCCCCATCCCCAGTCCTAGGCAACTACTAACCTACTCTCTGTCTCTCTAGATTTGCCGATTCTAGATATTTTATATGAGTGGAATCATAATATATGTGGTCTTTTGTGACTGACTCTTTTCACTTAGCATAATGTTTTCAAGTTCATCCGTGTTGTAGCACATTATCAGTACTTCATTCCTTTTTATCGTCACATAATATTCCATTGTATGGCTAGATCACATTTTTTAAATCTATCAATTGATGGACATATTTTTCCCCCACTTTTTCATTATTATGAATAGTGCTATTATGAACGTTTGTGTACGAGTTTTTATATGGACATATATTTTCATTTCTCTTGGGTATATACCCAGGAGTGTGATTGCTGGTCATATACTAACTCTGTATTTAATATTTTGAGGAACTGTCAAACTTTTCAAAGTGGTTGCACTATTTTACATCCCCACCAGCAATGGATGAGGGTTCCAATTTTTCCACATCCTTGTCAACACTTGTTATTGTCTTTCTTTTTGATTATAGCCATCCTAGTGGATGTGTAGTAGTATCTTATTGTGGTACATTTATGACTTTTGAATTTAGAAAAATATAAAATATTTTTAAAGACCCAATGAAATGAAGGAAGAGGAAATTGGTAAGTGAGCTTAGATTGTGCAGTTGAAGGCATATGCTTATGATTAAACTGAGAAAACAAGTTTGGAGCCATCTAACCCATTTTCCTTTCAGGTGGCCTCTATGCAGTTTATTAATATTGTAGTCCATTCAGTAGAAGACATGAATTTCAGAGTTCACCTCCAATATGAATTTACCAAGTTAGGCCTGGATGAATACCTGGACGTAAGTATGGCTGTAACCTTTGTCGCCAACATAAGACTTAATGTATTGCTTACCCTCAAAGACACACTTCTGTAGTGACTAAGGAACGCTTAAAGCTCTACGCAGTCAGTTTCTGTAGTGCTAGTTAAAAGGAACCGATCTGAGTGATGCAATCTGCCAGAGAAACTGGATTCTTGCAGACCTCCTGGGACCTTAGGCTGTCTTTTGCCAGCAGCTGTTTAGTAGTGGAGTCAGATAACCTCTTGTAGCCTTGCTGCAGTTTTCCACTGCTTCTGAGCTCTGTCTGGGTCCAGTCTCACTGTATCCTTCATCTGTGCTGTTGGGCAATTCTCTGGGGACCCCATCTGGGAGGGAAAGAGTGCTGTAGAGTGATGAATAAATGCTTACAGCATGAAAAAATGAGGAAATAGACACTAGGAGACTTCCTCGTGTAGCTGTTGAATTCTGCTTAAAGTGTTTGTAGCTTCAGAAGTTCCGCTTTTAGTTCTTGGGAGAAGGGGATCTCAAGTTTCTCTTTCTCTTGCTCCCTTAGGGAAGTGCTCAGCCAGTTCCCCGCAGCTCTTCAGCTTAGAAACAGAAAGTTGATGTGAAGATCGTAAAGGGACTTGAATAGCTCTGTGTGCACAGGATGTACCCTTGTCCTTTAACTCTTGGGTGGTTTTGTTTTGCCTTCTATAGAGGAATGGTCCACTTGAATTTGGACGACCACTAGTGATAGGGCAAGGGTTGTTGACCTCAATTTCGAGGCTGTTTCTAGCTATGAAGAAGATAGAAATACTTTCCTTGGACATCTCCAGAATTCAGCTACCCATCTTTGTTAGGGAGTTAAGCCAGGGAATTACAGAATGCACCCTCAGTTCATTGCAAGATAGAATCATAGAATCGGTTGCTCTGGAGGTCATAGCCTTATCAGACCAGCTGTGGGAGTCCTTGGGTAGACTGGCCTAATGTTGTCTAAAGACTCAACACAGGGAGAGGCATGATGGATTTCCATTAAAGGGTTTGAATTGTTTTCCGCTTTAAAGACCCACTAATATCTTTGACAGAGTATTGTATTGAAAGATTTTTTTCTGCTTTGAAATCAAGGTTTGTCTGTCCTCTTTCCCCACATGCTCTGAGAATTGGCAGTATTGGAACAAAAATTGGGTGTGTAGATTCCTAAGGTGTTCTGGGTTCAGTTTTGTGATGGCCGTACAGAGCTCACTGCGGTGACCCATCAGTCAGTGCCCGTCATTCATTGTGAATCTTGTGGAAAATCCCACTAAGCTTCGTCTCTGTTTTCTTTTCTAGCCCTTGCCCTTATTCAGAAATCTTTTCCAGTTCTGACTCCTAAACTCTGAAGGGAGTATGCTCCATACTCTCTTCAGAGCAAGCTCAGTTGTAGAATTCCAAGTTAGATCTAGGAGAAAATCTATTTTCCTGAGAATTTATGTAGAATGGAATTCCTCTTAAAAATTCAAGATTTTTTCAGAAGTCTGTATTTCTTTAACTTCTTGATCTGTTGGTACTGGACTCTGATAGAGGTGATTAGAGGAAAAATATTATAACCATATAATTTACAAATATTTCATTTGTTTACAAAAACCCAGTCGTGTAAGTAGCCATTGATTTGTTCAATAAATGTTTATTGGTTGGCATCATCCATGTGCCAGATATTATTCTAGCCACTCGTCTGTTCCCCAGGGAAAGTCATGACTAGTGTTTCTTGTGAGGAAGATTTACTGATTTCCTTAACCTCTAATTACACCTTAGAGCTAGTTGAATTCCATCAGGATGCCCAGCCCTGGAATGCAGTGAATGGGGGAAAGCTTCCTTACGTGTGCTTTGGGGAGCCCTGAGCTCCTCTTGCTGGGGCAGTGTCTTAGGGAGGTAATCATGGAGGGTGGATTCTAGCAATTCGTGCTAAAATAAGCCCTAAGGATAATATACTCTATCAGTGTCTGCCTCACCTCCCGCCTAACTCTCTCCCCCAGCTGGAACTACCATCACTGCCCAGGCAAGATACCACCCACTTCAACCTCTTCCGCTATACAGATACCCTTCAGGTTTTATGTTACCTGTGGCTGTTGTTCCCTTTTGAAGCTGCTTTTAATTTTTCTATTGTCCTGATGTCACCCGTATCAGAATGTTTTAGGTTGGAATATATCTATGTGGGGAATATATCTACAGGAAAGATTAGGGAGGAAATGTGTGCATATTTCGGAGAGGGTATTCACCAGAAAGTGATCTAATGATATCCTCTTAGATGGTCACTCCATAGTTCTCTTAAGGGGGTAATATATCAAACCCTGTCTTGGGAAAGACTGGACTATTTGGAGCAAACAAAAACATGTAGGCTGTTGGGTAAATATGTTCTATTTCCACAGATGTGCTAACACCACCTTCTCTTGCATTTTGGTTTTTAGAAGCTGAAACACACTGAGAGTGACAAGCTGCAGGTCCAGATTCAGGCTTACCTGGACAATGTGTTTGATGTGGGAGCTCTGCTGGAAGATGCTGAAACCAAGAATGCAGCCTTGGAGAGGGTGGAGGAACTGGAAGAAAACATCTCGCATGTAACTACCTCTCAGAACAGGGGAAATTGCTGATGTTTCACCTGGGTGCAGAGCAGAATAAATGTTAACTTTTATGGCAGTAAATGAAAGGGTTTGGAGTATAGGAATGAGCTGCAACTTGAGAGAGTTATCAGAAGCCATTCTTGGGGGGAGGTCTTTCAAAGAAGGCAGGTGTGTTACTTAATGCTAGGTGGAATCCACTGCGTTGCCTTAGCTCACCTGCTCAGTTTCTGCTGAGTCCAGATTTGTTGGCCATCTTAGTTATAGGCACAGGAGAGTTAGATGATTGGCATTACCTAGAGGGAAATGCAGCTGAATATGTGAATTTGGCCCCAGGTGAAGAAGCATCTTCTTCTGAATATGAGTCATCTTCTAGCACATGTGTCCACACAGGCCTGTGGACGGGATGATCTAGTGTCTTCATGATGCATGTCTGCACGTTCCTGCCTTATGGTTACTCAGGTTCTAAATAGGTTCATTTTGACAATAGGCGTTTTCAAGGAAATGAGCAAGCTTTCGCTTACGTCTTCTTCTTTGAAGAAGAGTGTCCTCTCTGTGTAATGTCAACACTGTATCAGGGCAGGGGCTCATTTTTCTTTGAGGGATTTTTCTTGCCACAGACCAAGTTGGATATGAGTCTGAAGGCCTTCAGAAGTTTTTCGTTTGTTCATCCGTTAAATGAATGTTGGAACATTGCAAGAATGAACAGAAAAATGGTGCTTCTTAAAAACCCAAGCATTGTGAGGGCAAAATTCTTTTGATGAATTCTGATTGACAGTGTCCTTGATTGTGAAATGAATTGTCTCTTTTTGGAGGGATATTGTTTCCCCCTATGGACAGTCCATTCATTTTCCTGCACATTTTCTTAAGAGTATTGCATTTGCTTAATGTCCTTCACCTTTTCCCATCACTCTGAAAATGGGCATCTTCACGGCTTATGGTTAAGCTGTGGTGATGAGCCAAAACCCCTCCCTTTGTAAATGCTACAGCAACCTGGTAGGCACTTGCTGAGGAAGAGCATTTACGGACCCACTGTTTCTTCCCTTGAAAGGTGTGTATTATATTCTGAACCCAATCAGCATTCATCTCCACTCTTCCCCTCACCTTGCCTCCATGATTTTCTTTACTTGTGATCATTTTCAGTGAGATGTGAGAAATCAGCAGTTGCTCAATTTTAGAGTCTATGGGAAAAGTAACTATTTAACATGTGGCTTTACTCTGTCTTTCTCTTGAAGCCTCAGCTGGCATTGCCTGATTATACTTACATCACCTACTTTTGTAGCAGGCCACCTGTTTATTTGAACTGCCTCTCCAAAATGACTTTTATTATTTGGGTAGTTTGGGTGAAAACAAGCAGGGGTATTTTTTCAACTGGTTACCTATAATAACAGAACCAAGTTTTCTGGATCTACAATTTTCAAAAGCTTTTGCCTAATGGCTCCTTCTTAGGGAGGGAAAGGTGGACTTCTCCTCCTAACTACTGTTCTCTATCCTTACTAGCCCCTGCAGAAATGGAGAGAGACACACTGTGTATGTCGAAACACTGAGGGGCTGACATATGGGTTTTATTAAGGATCACGTGTAAATTTATTCCTGTTAGAAACAAATATGTATTCAGAACCATATGATAAATATTAACATTTCCAGAAAACAACTTGTGGAACACGTGCAGGACTCTGACGGGCCCTAATGGTCTTTGAGCTACACTTTCTGAAAGCCAAGGACCTGATCAGAATGATCCTGTGTTGTGACACAGCTTCCTTTTTGAAACTTTACAGTTGTCTGAAAAACTGCAAGACACAGAAAATGAAGCCATGTCCAAGATTGTGGAACTGGAAAAGCAGCTCATGCAGAGGAACAAGGAGCTGGATGTTGTTCGAGTAAGTGTGATGATGACAACCACCCCAGATGGGCATTGCAGAGAATATGCTCCAGCTGTAGGCTAGTAGAATACAGAGTACATTCATGTCAGAGGAATGCACTGATACAGCGTATTTATTGGAACCATTTCAGAGGTGATACTCAAATGAAAAGTACACATAGTTAGGGTATGTATACACATGTGTGTGCAGTCAGATGCTGGAGGTTCAGTACTGCCTTATCACAGGTTTTGGGAGCAACAGTCTTTTCCCATCTGGGCGAGTCTGAGTTTGATTCCGTGGATCACCCATTTGGTTGGAAATAAAAACAGTATGGATTTAATTCATGCCATTTACTTATTTTTGTTAGGACTTGGACTTCTTTGTATTTCTTTGCTTCTACTTGAAACCAGATTTGGTGGTTGCCGTGGAAACGGTAAAATTATAACACAGGGGAGACCTAATGGCATTCACCAAAAAAGAAAAAAGGCAAAGCAAAACCTAAACCATTTTATTATCAGATAATCCCAGCTGTTTTATTTGGCCTTAGCATTGTTTTACCTTATGTGTTAGGTATTTATGGAGTGCCATCCATATGCTTGGAATTGTACAGAACAGAGAAACACCAAAATGCCTGGAGGGCTTTCAGGCAAATGGCTTGCCTTTACACCACCGTTAATGAAATGGCACATTTTATGCAAAGGTTATCATGTCTGTGTGTTGCTGGATATTCTGACATGTCCTACAGTTAACTCTAGGAAATTTATTTTCTGGCACGCCATCGAGACAAAGTTATAGCATATGGACTCAATTCAAGCTCAGACTTTCAGATTATTAATAATAGACAGGGTGTGAAGAATATTTCCCTGCCTGCTAGAGGTTTGTGGGGAGAGATCACGTGTACAAGACCCAGCAAGTAAGTTTCATAAAATCTTTTCACTCGAACCTCTGGGGGCCCTTCTAAAAGGAACTGGGACAGCCTTTGAATTGAAAATTGTAACTTCTTTGTTTTCTGCTAAACACCTAGAGAGAAATAAATAATCAGTGAAGGGGAGCGTTGGCCTATTTTGTTAACTGCATTACCACAGGGAGAATGTCACAACCATTGCTGGCCTGAGCTTGGTCAGGGGGACGTTGTGAAGGCCAGAGAAAGCCATTCAAGAACAGTCAGCCCCTGGTTACTCATGAGGAGGTTATTCCATGCTTTGCAGATTTTTAATCCCAGTCTGACTTCTCTCCAAGTCTGATTTAGGGCCCTTTTGTCTACTGTTAGCTGATATGTATCTAGGAGTTACAAATGAATTTTAAAATAATTTAAAGGAAAACGTGCTACACCACCAGAACACCCTCAGGATATTCCAAAGTCAGCTATCAAATTATTCTTGGGTCATCTCTGCCCTGTTCTTCTCCACCTGCAAAGAAAATTGACTTCACCGCATTTACTAATGGAAAGAACTATATTAGCGATAACAACTGCCAGAATGTATTGCGTGCATTACTGGGGACCAGTTGATTATGAATGGGACTTGATAGGTTCTGGCTGAGTTCCATAGAATTCCTATATATATGAGGATCCTTTTTCTGTTTTATTTGGTTGTTTTCTTTCTCCTCAGTTTGCCAATCTGATGGTTATGGGTATGAATGTCATGCGAAGACAAACTCTTGACCATGGACTGTTTTGCAGGAAATCTACAAAGATGCAAATACCCAGGTTCACACCTTAAGGAAGATGGTCAAAGAAAAAGAAGAAGCCATTCAAAGACAGTCTACCCTGGAAAAAAAGATTCAGGAACTGGAGAAACAAGGGACCATTAAAATTCAGAAGAAAGGGGATGGAGACATCGCTATACTGCCAGTTGTGGCTTCTGGTACACTGTCCACGGGGTTAGACGTGGCAGTGGGTAACTTTGTGGGACCAATAGCGGGGGCCGCCTCCACAGGACTCTTGCCCCCACCTGCCCCACCACGACCTCCGTTGTCAGATGCCCCTGAAGCAGGTATGAAGCCTTGGCGGGAGAACTGAGGTAGTATTGGGACATTTGTATTTCTTCTTTTACCCACTGTTCATTTTATGTCCTTTGTCAGCTTTTGTTGGCATATTCTTTTACTTACTGATTTTAAGAACTTTTTACATTTTGAGATTAAGGTTATGAATCTTTCATACACGTTGCAGTATATTCCCCATTTGTCAGCGAGGACATTTTAGAGTCTTTGAAAAAATTTTTGTTTTTTTCAGTGTTTTGTTTTCAGATACTTTAGGTGCACATGACAGATTGCAGGAAAAACCGTTCCTCTATTTTCAAAGTGAATTTGTTTCTTTTCTTCCCCCACCTCTTCCGGGTCCTGCAGCTGAGACTGCGCCAGCTCCTCCTCTACCGCCTCCCCCTCCTCCCTCTGCACCCCCGCTGCCCGGGACGTCTTCGCCCACAGTGGTTTTCAACTCAGGATTAGCAGGTAAGGGCACAGAATTAAGACACAGGTACTTGTGTAAGAAATACTCATTGGTCTTACCTCCAGAGGCTTAAAGCCATTCTTTCAAAGCCCAGATCTCTTGCAATCAAATACATCTCCTCTTAATAGGAGAACATTCCTGCTGATGTAGCCGGTAAAGGGGAAATTGTTGTGGAGAGGAGGCATTTTTCTCTGAGTAGCCTTTGTCACTCTCTCCCTAGCAGGAAGTTCTAATCTCACACTGTCTTCCCGCCTTCCACTCTCCCCTGCTTGACAAGGGAAGAGAGACAAGTTACCTTCTTAGGGATGGATGCGTTTTCATGGGTCCAGCAAACCCTCTGGACATCTGTGGTAGTCAGAGCTCTGACACAATGCTGCTAGTGCTTATGGCTCTTTTTTTGAAGGTATTTGTGCAAGATGCCATCTATAAAAGGGGAAAATGCCTTTCTATGTAATTGCCTGATGTAGGCTTCCAGGCATTTCTTCTGAACATTTGAGGACATCAGAATTCGCTGTAGTGGAATAAAGCTTCAAGGGAAAATGTTGCCAACAGCAGTATCTGCATGCCTTGCAATGCCTCCGGATAAGGCATGTTGTTCTCCTGTAAACCAGGATAGAATGCAGCCTCCTTACCTCACCAGGAATAAAAAGGAGTGGGTGTGGGGCAAGAGGAAGAGAGTTGCCCTAATGCCTTGAAATACAAGTCATTATTTTCGACTCATGGAAGTGAGTTTTTACTCTTTTCTAAAATACTGCAAGCTATTTTCCCAGTCATGGAGTGCTTCTCATTTGGAATTGCTCCGAGCTTTGCCATGCCATCCCTGTGACATTGGATAATTCTGCTTCCTCATCCCTCCGTGAGGTCTCTTACTTCCCATGAAGAACCACCACTCTAGTAGTCTCCATTTCGAAGGCTGCAGTAGTTCTCTGAGTCTTTTACCCAAAGCCTAAAAGCCAGTCTTAGTTGTAAAAGATTTCCCAGTCTCCATCCCTTACTGTGTCCCGTCAGCAGCTTTACCAGCCAGTCATTAGGACTAATTCATCCTAGTGACTGAAGCCCTCTTGGACACCAGAAAGCCACCCATAGCAAACTTGTTCCACATCGAGTCCCTGGTGTTTGCTTCCACCCCAACTTCCGTACAACTGTCAAAGAAACAAACAAGGTGCCTGTTCAAAGTAATGTTTGCAGTAAACAAGTGACTTATTTATACCCTTCAAGATCTCCCCCGTCTACTACTTTCTTCTAGAACTTTTATCACTTTGAAGGACAAAAGTTGAAGGAGTGTCATTGTGGAACTGTTGGATTTTGGAATATAAACAAGCAGAAAACCTCTTAACAAGCCCCAGAATCTGTTCCATCAACAGGCTTTTGTGACTGAGTGTGAACACCTGTAATTGTCATGTCCACCTGGGCTCACTGATAGGCTTTCCTTATCGCCCCCTAAGGGTGTTCACCGTGAGATGCGTCTGCTGTGGTGTCTCTCCTTTGCTGCTGCTTTTCTCTCTGGCGAAACCTAACGTGCTACGGCCTCCATTTCCATTCACCTGAGCTCTAACGGAACTCGGAACTGCCTTGGCAGAGCGAAGGAGCCAGAAGGCTGAGATGTGCAGGTCAAAGGCTCCCTTCTGAATGGATCTTGTCCCCTCTGGTTAATTTTTTTGCCTGGGTTCTTCCTGCTACTTAAAATTTGTTAGCTCTGTTGATTGCCTCAATTTTACGATGTGGATCTCTGTGTTCAGCTGCTTGCCCACTGCTACCTTCAGGGTTGCTGCAGTTGGAAGTGGTCCCCTTTGTGTCTTACACAATTTAGAGGACTGTGTACTGTATATGGGATTGAGGAAACCCCTCTTTAGTGCTGTAGGTGTCTATTAAACAATTACAAGATGATGTGTTTTACAAGATGTAAGGATTATAAGATATGAGTCTTTGATAGGTTGAGATCAGGCAATTTCTACAAGTCCTTTAATCTTTTCCTTCTTCTCCTTAATTTGGCTGTTAATACTTAATGGTTACAGCCTATTTTGTGAGATGTTTGGCCAGTGTGTTCAGTAACTGTCTCTCTCTCTGGATCCAGGAGGCCAGAGAGAATTAGGATGTTCCAGTAGAACCAAGAGATAGAGCAGAGATGATATGCCCAGGGCTCCTGGGAAGCCATAAACCTGTGACATTGCTAGGCCCCTGGATCCGCAGGCAACAGGATGTTTTATCTCTTCAACTGGCAATGAGCAAGTGTGGTGGCCAAGACGGGACCAGGAGGTGGTCCCCTAAATTTATCTAGTTGAGTTTTCTTTGCATTTTTTAGAGGAAATGTTAGTAGTGTGACATGTGCATGTGAAGTGTAAGGCTTACTTCCCCAAATCTGTGCTAGGTCGATCTGGCTCCCATTGCCTGGTAGTCTATGACAGACTGCTCGCTGGGCAGTCTGTAACCTTTGGTGTCCCTTTGAGAGAATGTGCTTTGGAACTTCACAATGAGAATTTGGACTTATTGTGGACTTAAGCTGATTATTTTTCGTTTAAAAATTGTTCATATCTTACAGAGTACCTAGCGCAATTCAGTATGGCTGTTTGGAACCACTATAATGAGATCATTTTTTTCCACTTTTCTAAAAAGGATTTTTTTTAAAACAAAATAATAAGTGAGTCTTCAAGGCAGGCCTGAATGGAAATGAATTTTTGGCTCTGTGCTGCCTTGTGAAATGTGTCCAAGAAGCATGAAATTCTATGCTAAGAGCGCGTGAACTGCTGAGCCGCTTGATTCTAACCATATCTATTTTTTTGTATTTTCTTTGTTCTTTCTGCTTCCACAAAAGATGGGCCAATCAAGCTTTTCTGTAGGTTGCTCCTCACTGAGTGTGTTGAGTATTTGCCATGTGTTCCTGTTGGTCACACTGTGCCTTGACATCTTTCCACTCCATCTTACGTTGATCCATTGCATTTTGACTTTGTGTCTGCGGGGAGTCTTGGTGTTGGCTGACTGTTATTCCAGGTTTGCCCACACATTTTAGTTGAGCCTGTAGAAGAGATTATGGTCCTTTAAGCAGACATCCTGGATTTCATATGCCACATTCCTTTCCCCCTGAGAAAAGGAGTGTTTTTTCTTTTAATTTTCATACTTGGATCTAAGGCCTCAACTCTAGAAGGAATTTAGGTTTATTCTGAGGGAAAAAGGAAAGCTCCTACACAGAATAAGGAAAAGTTGCTGGGTGCTGCTTTCTAATTTTCTTGGTCTCCGGCTCTCTCCGTGGAACACCCACGCCTGCACCCACCCATGCACAGCCACTTCCTTTAACCTGAATACTGGGAACGTGGTGTATATCGTGGTCACCTGTAGGCCCCCCTCCTCTAGACATCCCCCCTCATTCCCCAGTCAAGAGTCAGGACAGCCTTTCTGAAGAGAACTTTTTTGCCTGTGTTCTGATCTCAGGCTCATTCCTAATCTTGCTAAAGTTAAAAGTAGAGTGGCTGTAAATGGAGTGCCTTTTAGTGAGTGTCCTGAGGCCTGCAGTAGAGGGATGGTGGAACCAAATGGCGCCGGCCTGTCACCTCAGATTATGAAAAGATCCCCTCCCCTGCTCTCCCTCTTCTCACTCAACATTGCTGAAGTGCCAGACTAGAGGAGGGTCTCTTCCTTTGTCCTGTGGAGGACATGGGTTTTGCTGGGCAGTATAGACCAAAATGAAGTGTGGTGAGGAATGGGGAGTGTGTGTAGTCCCCACTACCCAACAGTAGTAGACACTAAGGTGCCACATTTGGTGGTGGAAAGGCCTGGTTTGGCAAAAGCTGTGTTTCTGTGTTCCTGCATGCTTTTGTGTGGATTTATCAGATGACGTTCTTGCTGTTTATATGGCCTTCGTAACCCTGGAGGAGTGAGAGGCACCATCTGTCTCCCATTTTCAGTTGCCTCCCGCTGAGGCAGGCAGCCGGGTGAAAGCCCAGTCTTGTGTTGCATTTATTTTGTTCTGCACTGAAGTTCTTCTCCCTCCTGTGCTAATGACAGCAAATAGTGAAGTTCCCAAACAGTGTGGTGGGTGTCCCAGGACAGACTTAAGAGGGCATATATAGATAGCTACATGGTTTGGGAAAGATTCTTTATGGTGTGTAATTAACTAATGGAGGTTTTAATGGATTACCTTTTTTAGCTCATTTTTCTCCAAAGTAGGCGGAGTTGGCACTTTCCCCTGATAACCTCAAACGTAGATCTATTCCTCTCTATTAACAAGTTCTCAGGATTTTTAATGGATTCATCGATGCCTTCTAGTCACACATAGCTGACTCCTGGGGAGAACTTGCCCTCCAAAAAGACGGGGAAGAGACTGTGGCTATTCTCAAAAAGCAATACAAATCCTGGTTTCTAAGTACCCCTGCTGTCTTCTCAAACATTTTCTATGTTGGGCCTTTGTAGCCCTTAGTCTGTTTGAAATAACTCAGCAGCCAATATAATTCCCATTATTGAAATCATCCACAGGAATGTATTATTCTGGCTGAAAGCCAGCCTTCTTGATGTTACATTCTTGGTGGTTTAGACAGCCACTATCTGCAGTCTCTGATCATCTTTTAAGATTTGTTTGGAAATAAGTATTCTAGAACCGGGAATTTAGGATGTCAAAATTCAACTCACTCACCAATATCAGACTAAGTCACACAGAATATTTACCCTCTCTGCTATCTAATAACATTAATAATAATTTTTGTTCCCCAATATTTTTTGTCCTAAGCATTCTCCTAACATTGTGACTGTAATGCAGCAATTCAGTTGCCTGCATTAAAAAAAAAAAGAACCCCTGACTCCTAGACAACTTTAACACAGTGTTGTATCAATCAACCAATTGATGACCTCAGATTGCTCTGGCAAAGCCCTCTGTGATGTCTTCCGTGTTTAAAACCCTTGGGCGCCTCTTGTCAGCCTTCCTCCAGTGTTCAAGTGTCATCTGCAAGGACTGTTGTCTGGTTGTCCTTGAGGGTACTGGGGTCTTGGTGGAATCTTAATTTCATTCTCTCTGACCTCTGTAGCTGTGAAAATTAAGAAGCCAATCAAGACGAAATTCAGAATGCCAGTTTTTAACTGGGTTGCCCTGAAGCCAAATCAGATCAATGGCACAGTCTTCAACGAAATTGATGACGAGCGGATTCTGGAGGTATCTTTCTCGTTGCTTAGAAACAGGGGGCCCTCTGTGCAGCATAGCCAAAATGGGTGCTCTGTTAACCTGGAAGTTTCAGCGGTGAAGTGCTAGTGTTTTAAGTGCCTTGATGTAAACAAGAAAGGAGTTTATTATATCAGAGTATAAAATTGCACACTATTTTGTAAGGTGGTTCTAAAACTATGTTTAAAAAGTTGTGTTAAAATAAATAGTTTTGAGCATCTTCAGTGTATGCCATAAAATATGTATCTGACACAGTCCCTGCCCTTAATTTATAAAAGAGCATAAAAACCCTTTATTGAACTATAAGTGAATAAGGACTCAATAATCACACTCACTAACTGGTTTGATGGATAGTTTTAGTCTGTGATGACCACCCCTGCAAGGTAATTACTGAATGGCAATTGAATTGACTGGTCGGAATCCGTTGTCTATTCACATCTGTGTATGTAGCATAAGTCATGCACTAACAAACAGGAAAATAGAGCAAGCCATGGTCAAAGACAAGTATTGAGTAGAAAAAGTGAGTTCTTTGACACTTAAGAAACTGTCTGAATGGTGGCTTCCTGACTTAATTTTAAGTATAATCCAATTTGCCTATTTCATCTCTCTCTACCTCAGGATTTAAATGTGGATGAATTCGAGGAAATATTTAAGACAAAAGCCCAAGGTCCTGCCATTGATCTTTCTTCAAGCAAACAGAAAATAACACAGAAGGGATCAAACAAAGTGACGTTACTGGAAGCAAATAGGGCCAAAAATCTTGCCATAACTTTAAGGAAAGCTGGGAAGACCGCCGATGAGATATGTAAAGCTATTCATGTGTAAGTTCAGGGCATTCTGGAAAACTGTATCCTGGTAAATTTTAGGATACAGATGAAAAAAAGTTAGGAATTGATAGATGACAGAAATATTTTGATAGTGGGGTAAGATTGAAGAAAAAGAGCCATTCTTGATATCCACACACGAGGGATTCCCTTTGTTACGTATGTGTGACTTTGGAGTTGAATAAAATGCTAACACTAAAGAAGTGGACCAGAAATTACTCTTGGGAATGCCGTATTAGAATGAGTAATTAATCGTTTTAGGAGAATCACAACTGGATTGTGACATCATTTATTATCTTGGTCTGCTCTCTCATACGGCCCTACAGCAACACTTACATAAAAGAAAAGTTGAACAGAGGATTGCAGATGCTAAGAAAAGGGAGAAAATGTCAGTTTTCTCTGGAGTATGTGAATTTTATCCAGATTTGTTGAATACAAATTTGATGGTATTCATGGAATGATACAATTCAGTGCCAGATGCAAATATGATACAGATACATATTTCAATTCATAAAAATAGGAATGTGATTTCTGTTGCTGTTAGTGCTTTCAGGACATTTTAAACACAGTTCTTTTTTTATCCTAGAACTGTGGAGAAGGCATTGGTTTTATTTACTTTTCTATTAGAAGACTCTTTCTACTTTTCTTGTGGTCATGGTAACTTTTAAATGTGATAAGGATGTTATTAGATGTTTTAGGAACTAATTTGTCATAAATTGGTATTTCATAAATTTTGATCAGAGATTCTTAGAGGAGTAAAGGACCTTGAGAAATCATTTATTCCAATTTCATGTCCTCAACCAAGGTCATAATCTAATAGTCTAGTGGCTCCTATAGTCTCTTCTGATTTCTGGTGTTGAAACCTGATATGCATTCTGGTATTTAATCTTGATATACCTTGTTTGTCATGATTAATAAATGTGATTCTATTATTTTGCTAAACAAAGACTGTCCAGAGAATGAAACAGAGGTTGTAGAAAATCCTTTGTTCCAATTGAGCATACATTGACAAGGACTTGGTATTCCTTATTTAAGCCAAAACATCCATATAGTATAGGCATGTGGATGCATTTTTTTCTAAAGAAGAAAGAAATAGCCCAGACTATTGGTTTAATTGGAATATTCTACAGAGTTCACCAGATATTCTGTAATTGTGTGTATTATATTAATTCCTTAATTAGCAGTACTTCACATGTCTGGAAAACCATGGTCTTGAACCACGTAACCATCAGATACTTCGGCCTTCCTTCTGCCTCTTCCTACTGTCATTTACTGCTGATTTCTAGAGGCTTAGAGCTGTACTAGTGGCCTGAAAATTGAGCATGGTGATTGTGATGAGGGTCCGGTTTTTAAGAAGGACTAGTGAAGATACTTGGTGCACAGTGAGGAGCCAGTGCCAAGGCGTGTCTTCAGAGTTCAGCTGTAGACATCAGCTGGACTAGATGGAGGTGTGGTTGAAAGAGTAGGAGGTTTTCTCTCTAATACTGACCTGTCCACATCTGTCTTCAGATTTGACTTGAAGACATTGCCTGTAGATTTTGTAGAATGTTTGATGAGGTTCTTGCCAACTGAGAATGAAGTGAAAGTGCTTCGGCTCTATGAGCGGGAAAGGAAGCCTCTGGAGAACTTGTCTGATGAAGACCGGTTCATGATGCAGTTCAGTAAAATTGAGAGGCTCATGCAGAAGATGACCATCATGGCCTTCATTGGGAACTTTGCTGAAAGCATTCAGATGCTGACTCCTGTGAGTGGACCAGCTCTGGTGGGGCATGGGTCGGGGGTGGGGCAGAGTGGTCCAAAGAGATAGAGAATCTTTTTTTTTTTTTCTTTTAAGTCTCTCCTAGAATTATACTTAGTGTCGTGGGCTCTAAGGACTTCTTCCCAGAACTTTCTACGTTGCATTTTTATTTTGGCCATCTTTTTAACATTGTGTATACCAAGTAAATTTGAAAATGGCAAATTTTCATATTCCATATTGCTATTCACCCTAGAGTATGCCATTTTCTTTGTTTATAGATGTCCTCTGAATTTCAAAGGGCACTTCAATACAGAGTACAAGGAAAACCATTTTATCAAACTTGGTTCTCTCCTGAACCAGTCCTCCGGCTGGGTTGGCAACACTGAAAATATACCTTTCATTTCTAAAAACAATCCCATATCTTTGGCTTATCGGCTTTCATTGGAAGCATTAAATTTCCTATAGGAGTCTGCTTCCTTGGAAATTTGTTATAGTACGCTGTGGTGATGTAGAAATAATTGCCAGCTATCTCCTGTGTGTTAATCTAGTTCCTTTCTGTTGACCTGGTAGAGACTTAGGAGTATCATAAACATAATGTCATAATTCTTGCCCAGTTCTATTTATAAATAAACTTTCATTAATTGCTTATTGTAGTAGCATGTCTGTTCAAAACATGTTCTGAGAACTTCTGGAGGGTGATTACATTCCTTTGCTGTTTTGTTGTGTTTTCATTCTTGGACAGCTCCATTGATTTAAAAATGTAAATTGTATTATATAGTTAGAAGTGGTGGGCAGGGAATTGCGTTCTGCTAGAAGATGCTGTTGATGCCTGACCCTGAGTCTCATTAGTTACAGATTTTGTGATAAGCAAGTTCCGACGTTACTTCTTGTTTCAGATACTTTTAGAGAGGAGCTTGCTTGTAATAGTATGGTTACCTAAGACCTAATGGGACAACTTAAATTTGTTATGTTTAGGAAAAATAGAATCTCAGCATTAAGACTTTAAGGTCTAAATACAGGCCTCTTTTCTTCTGTGTTAATTTTTAGTTTCCAATTACCGTTTCCCATTTTTAACATGTCTTGTTTTTCCCCCCTTCCTTCCTTTGGCCGGAATCTAGCAACTGCACTCAATTATAGCAGCATCTGTCTCTATAAAATCATCGCAAAAACTCAAGAAAATTCTGGAGGCAAGTGAAGTTTTCCTCGTATACATGTATGGAACAGCCGACTTGTCAGCTGCATTCCTCTGCCTGGGAATGCCTGGGATTCTCTCCTGATGGACTTTTCTTTTCTCTCTTTTTTTGCAGATCATCTTGGCCCTTGGAAACTATATGAATAGCAGTAAACGTGGAGCAGTTTATGGATTTAAACTTCAGAGTTTAGATCTGGTAAGTGGACTAAAGGAAATACAAGAGCTGTATGAGGGACAAAACAGCTGGCAAAGATTAAGTCCTGGAGCAGAGAGAGTCTGCTCTTGAAAGTGAGGTGGGATGTTTTGATGAAGATTCTCTGCTGGTGGGAGGATCAATTGGTACAAACTTTCTGGAACACCATTTGGCAGCAAGCACTTAGAACCTTAAAAATACTCCTACTCTTTGACCCAGTATTTCTATTTCTAGGAATCTTCCCTTAGGAGTCTGAATTACAGGTGCTGTACTTTAATAATTTTATTTATTTTCCCCCAAAGCCCCAGTAGATAGATAGTTGTATGTCATAGTTGCACATCCTTCTAGTCGCTGTATGTGGGACACGGCCTCAGCATGGCCAGAGAAGCAGTGCGTCAGTGTGCGCCCGGGATCCAAACCCGGTTCGCCAGCAGCGGAGCGCGCGCACTTAACCACTAAGCCACAGGGCCGGCCCACAGGTGCTGTACTTTATATTGTTGCTAATTATTTGCAATTATAAATAAAGATCCCACATTTCGGGAAATGATTAAATATTCTATAACAATAGTTGTTACGGTGAACTATTCTTCAACTGTTAAAATATTCCTGAAGAGTTGTCAAAGAAATAGATAATTTTGTGTTTAGAAAAGAAAGCAGGGTATACATCGCATGTACAGTTTGATTTGAGCTAGGTAAAATCTGTAGGAAAAAATGGAATGGAAGTAGGTTAGGATATTAACAAAGAGGTTAGATGGAATTGGAATTTTTTGGAACTGCTTCTTTATACTTTTCCCTATTTTCTAAAAATTTTTGCTTTTTTCCTGGATGGAAAAGGGTGCTCTGCTTTTCAGGGTCACCTGACTTATATGATCAGGACTAGAGAAAATCCTCCACGGAACCCTCTCCCCCTGGCTGTACGGGGCTGATGTGGCTTCCCCGTGAGAGGGCTGGGCGGTGGGTTGAGTCCCCAGCCCGGGGGAGACATGGTTGTTTGATAGGCAGAGTCCATGTAGTCACAGTTCTGGTCCCTAGAAGGCATGGTCTGTTAAACACATCTGCTCGGGTCATCAGAGGCTGGGGAATAAGAGAGGAGCGAGCTGAATGAGAGGACTGCAGTGGAGGAGCCCTGCTGTGTGGGGAGTACCTGCACACACCTGCCAGCTCCACACGCACTCCTACTCTGGTCCTCCACTTTGGAGAGCACTGAAACTGGATTCTTCCCGCCTTTAAGCCAGGGGAGGTGATGTAGCAGAGCTGGGGAGGGGGAGTTCACGTGAGGACAGACGTGTGAACAGTTCTAGGTGCCTAGAGTCTGCCCTAAAGAGTAGCATAGACGATGGTCAGGAAGTCCTCTCGTCATTTAAAAATTGGCGGGCTGGTTCACCAAAGAACAACTCCAGTCTTGACTCTCCAGTGGAAATCTTCTTTGTCCGCTTTGGGGCACCGGTACTTGGTTATTCACTGTGAGTGGGAGAGCGTCATCTGCGGTAACTCTCCCATCATCTTTCACTCTAACCCACGTTCCCTTTTGTTTTCAGCTCTTAGACACAAAGTCAACAGACCGAAAGCAGACACTGTTGCACTATATATCAAATGTCGTAAAGGAAAAATATCACCAAGTGTCCCTGTTTTATAATGAGCTTCATTATGTGGAGAAGGCTGCTGCAGGTACATGATTTCAGCTCCTCATGTTACTCTGGGGTATTGAAGGCCTTTAATCATGGGGGAACCATTCCTTGCTTGAGCGAACACTCTTCAGAACCCCTTTAAAAAGGCTAAACCATTAGAAGCTCTGAGCTGGAACATGTCGTCTATGGTGTTGCCTCCTCCTGGGAGCAGTAACAAATGTGGGTATGCAGGTGACCTCTTAGTGTCTCTCTGTGAAGGTCCAGGTCTCTGGTGTACCTTCCTTCTTCCATTCACTGCCCTTTTTACTCTATTGCTGTCATTTGAAATACGAGAATGAGAATCACCCCCCAACAGACACTTTAGTTTGATTTTGCCTTTAGCCTAAGTACAAGTTAAATTATCAGTATGTCTTGATTGTTGCTTTGCTTTGATGGTTATGCACTTTCTCATTTCTATCATCAGTGATTCTGAGATAGTTGGGCTGTATTAGGTAATAGTATCCCTATGTTATAGATGAGAAAACTAACATTTTTAGAGGTTAAATGTCTTGCCTGATGTCACATGGGTAGAAAGTGATAGAAACAGGACTAGAACCCAGGTTGTCTTCTCATATAGTGTATTGTCCAATATACCATGTCCTCTCAAAAGAATATTAGGCTAGAAAAAGGAACAAGAGGCAGATTGACCTCAGAGTTGGTTACAGGCCATAATTCTCAAATTGCAATCTTGAACCATGAGCAGCCAAGGTGTTTTATTATAAATTCAGATTCCCAAGGCCTACCCCAGACTTACCAAATCAAAGCTTTGATGGCAAGGCCTTCTCTGACTTCCTCAGACAGAGTAAATGGCTGCTGCTCGTCTGTTCTTACTCAAGAGCACTCTGTACTGCCCTCCCATACGAGACTTACCAGATTTTATTATAGCGATTTCTAGTCCATTGCAACCTGTGCATTTAAGGGTATAATCAGGTTTTATTTATCTTTATAATTCCCTTAGCCTCCAGCAAATTGATGGTGGGAATAAATGAATGAGTGAATGAACAAATGAATGAGTGGATGAGCGAATGAACGAGCTGATGAGCGAATGAACGAGCGAATGAATGAGTGAATGAACAAATGAACGAGTGAATGAACAAATGAATGAGCGAATGAACAAATGAATGAGCAAATGAACAAATAAATGAGATGATGCACTGTTACTGTATGGATAGATGCTGCTGAAGCCCGAGTGGAGACTGAGGGGCAGTGGCAACAATCTTTTGTGAAGGACTATGCAGTGCAGGCTGTGACAGACCTACTGAGGGTATAGACCTGACTCGGGCTGTTACCAGGATTTCTATTCTGGTGGAGTGATTTTCCTCCTTTCAAATTACTCTTTGCCTAAATTAGGAGTTCTTTATTATCACAATTCTAATTAAGAAATAAGTTAAAAAATATTAAATTAAATTCTAATTCACACATTTTGTTTGGCCCAAATGGGATTCCCCAAAAGTGCCATGTGAAGAAAATCAGTAGGGGAAAATGGGGAGATTAAGGTCTTCTCTGGCTGTATTGTTTTCTGTGTTGGCTCTCGGGTGCCCAGGTGGGCTGACACGGATTCTTTATACCTTGACTCATTTATTCACTCATCCTTTGTTTATCCAGTGAACCTTTTTGAGTCCCTGCTGTGTACTTGGCGCTTTCCTAAGCACTGAGGAGTCAAAGATGAATAAGACAGTGTGAGTCTAGTGAGGGGAGACATACTGTACTGTTCTGTAATTCATCCAGGTGCAGAGCTGAGTCAGGTAGTGGGGAGCCAGAGGTGGGGCCCAGACCTCCTGCAGGAGGCTGCAGGATTGTACCTGCTCTGGGATGGTGGCCACACTGCAGATCAGAAGGTTCATGCAAATAAACGCTTCTGAAGCAGGGAAGGGTTGGTTATCAAAAAGTTGTCCAAGGTTGCTTTGGGTCCTAGTGGGCAAGACAACGAAAATTCCACAGGTAAAATGCTACCTCCTGCTGGGGAGCCACAGAAATGCAAAGAGTTAAAAGTGTTAGGTAGAGGATAAGGTCTTGGGTCAGTCACAGTTAAGGAACCTCTGAACCTGTAGGCCAACCAATAGGTTATCATCTTCTGTAAGAGAAATGGAATAGCTGGGACAAGCACAAAATTCGGAGCCTATGGTTGTTATCCGAACTTCACCTCTGCCACCTCCTGACTCTGTGACCTAGGGCAGGCTATGTCACCTCATTATGCTGCTTTTCCTCGTTGGCAAAATGGACTAAAGGTGCAAATGAATCAGTGCATATAAAGAACTTAGTGCAGTGCCTGAGAGTGAGTACTTAGTAAATTATTCATGTTAAAGGAGCTCTGCACTGAAAGCTGGAAACTAGATCTAAGCCCCTTGAGTAACCCTAGGAATCCACCGAGACCTCGGCTTACAGGCCAGACTCACGGTGGTTTTGACCTTCACGGGGGTGTTGCTTTCTCTACCTCAGTCTCCCTTGAGAATGTTTTACTGGACGTCAAGGAGCTCCAGAGGGGCATGGATTTGACCAAGAGGGAGTATACGATGCATGACCACAACATGCTGCTGAAGGAGTTCATCCTCAGCAATGAGGGGAGGCTGAGGAAGCTGCAGGATGACGCCAAGATCGCACAGGTACGTGTCGGTGCCCCTCGACGCCTCTGAAGAAGTGATGGGATCCCTTAAAGCCACCTGGGGTGCTGGCCCTGGCTTTGGGGGGAAATTGCCCTCTGTCTGCTGAGGGTAGATTTCTTAAGTAGCTAATGATTATTATGGGGGGAATCTTTCCAAATATTGTACCTGGAAGTGCCCCTGTCCTGCTCATGGTCTTCTAATTTGGGGTCTTGACCCTCTTCTCTAGAGGCCCTCCCTGCCCCTCCCTCTCACCTTCCCCTCCTAGGCTCCCGCTATGTGAGTCCTATATTCAGTTCAACCAACATGTGGCCTGTGCTCAGCAGAGCAGTGTTCCCAGTGTTGGTTTCTGTAGGCACTGACCTCGACATCTTAAACTACGCTGGGGGTCAGGTTCACACACTTGGAAAACAGCCAGAGCGGACTGCACGCCATCATAGACAGGAAGACAGAGTGCTGTGGGAACTCAGAAAGCAGATGTGGTGGAATGGCTCCCGTTTGAGGCTGGCTGTCCCCTGTCACAGACGAGTTCACGCAGAGACTTGAGTGTCCCTGAGGAGGGGGTGCTGTAAGGAGCGCTGAAGCAGCGAGTTGGGGTGTGGCATCTGAGCGTCTTCTAAGGTCCCTTGTAACCTTGTTCTGCTGCGGCCTTAGGAAGCTCTTGAAGGGAATAGTTCTTCATTGGTGTGTGTGTGTGAAGGTGTGTAGAAGTGGCAGGAGGCCCCAGAGATGAACTCCTGTGTCGTGGGGCGCGTGGGAGGGCAGCGACGGGAGAGCTGTGGGAGCCGCTGCTTTGCTGCAGCCCTTCCCCTAGAGCGTCAAGTTCAAATGCTGCAGCTAATGAAATTCAAGAGAAATTTGCTTCTTCACAGGACGCCTTTGATGATGTAGTGAAATATTTTGGAGAAAACCCCAAGACGACACCACCCTCTGTCTTCTTTCCCGTCTTTGTCCGGTTTGTGAAAGCTTATAAGGTAGGCAGGAGCATGGTGTCCTCTAACACCTCCCGTGGCATTATTTCTCAAGTGGTTCCCTCTAGAGCTGTGTCTGAGTCCCTGCTGCACTGCAAAGGCCTCCCCTGTTCCACTGGGCAGCATATCTGGGTGGTCAGTATGAGATAGCAGTCTCGGGCCCTGTGGAGGCTGAGTGCTCCTGGGCCCTCAGCCCCTGATGCTCCCTGTCTCTACCCAGCCAGTCCTGGGGTTCGGCCCCAAAACAAGAGCTCTTGGCTGCCTCTTGGGGCACATGAGATGCTCCAAGACTTTGCTGCCCCATTGACGGTTCACCTCACAGGCAGGGTGAAAGACTTAGAAAATCCAAGCCTCCCGTGGAGTTGTTGAACAGGTTAAAAAGAGTGAGCCCTGGCCTGTGGCGAAGATGCTGTCACTGAGGTCAGGGAGAGTCTGCTTGTTAGTCTTGCTCAGGTTTTCAGGCCATCTAGACCAATATTTACCAGTGTGGACTGAAAGATGGCGCTAGGAAGGACTGTTGCTCTCTCTCCTTTTTTTTTTTTTTTTTTTCCAATCTAGACCAATAATGGCCCTTCCTTTAAATGGGAGGCCCTCTTTGACATAATCCAGGACCGTGGTCTTGAAAAATCATGAGACCCAAAGAGGCATGTCAGAAGAATTTGTCCTTTGAGAAAGAATGACAAGGAGGGTGTTAGGGGATTTTAGCCCACTGAGGAGACATGCAGTCTATACTGTCTACATATGACATTGGTAATGTTGGTAGAAGGAGGAGGAGTGTGATTGTAGTGGGGAGGAGGGATGTGGCAGGGTTATCTACATTTTTGAGAAACAGGATATTGGAAATAGCGGGTCACTTCTCCAACACCACTAGAGGCTAATGGCTTTGCAGAACTGTCCTGGGACCTTTTACTGAAACTCAACAGGTTTCATCTTCTCTTAGCATAGCTTAGTGTAGCAGTCATGTTGCAAGCTGTTTTGCAGAAGGAAAGTGTCCTTGGTGGTGAGGATGAACACAAACACAGCGGAAGTCCGTGTGCAGGACACTGGGAGCTGTGGGCAATGAGAAGGTCACTGTCACCAGCTGCTGTTAACTGTGGTGCTCTGGGCTTCACTGGCTGGCAATGCTCACGTGCTGCAGAGATGGCTCAAAGTGGCTCTTGTTATGTGCTGTGACCACATTTCTTCACATAAAAAATTGTAAGTCTAAGGTCTAAAGAGAAAATACATCCTTTTTTTTTTTTTTTGTGAGGAAGACCAGCCCTGAGCTAACATCCATGCCAATCCTCCTCTTTTTGCTGAGGAAGACCAGCCCTGAGCTAACATCCGTGCCCATCTTCCTCCACTTTATGTGGGACGCCGCCACAGCATGGCCTGACAAGCATTGTGTCGGTGCGCGCCCGGGATCCGAACCCGGGCCGCCAGCAGAGGAGCGTGCGCACTTAACTGCTACGCCACGGGGCCGGCCCCCCCCCTTTTTTTTTTTCTGAGGAAGATTAGCCCTGAGCTAACATCTGTGCGAGTCTTCCTCTATTTTGTATGTGGGGTGCTGCCACAGCATGGCTGAGTGTTGTAGGTCTGCGCCCAGGATCTGAAACCGCGAACCCCGGCCACTGAAGCAGAGCGTGTGGAACTTAACCACTAGGCCATGGGGCCAGCCTCAAATACGTGCTATTTTTAAATTATATACTACAAGCTTGGAAGTGCCTCTGGTTGGTCTCAAAGCCCAGCGCTTCAGCAGGGATGTGCATAGAGCAGAGAAAAAAGAGAAGCTGCCCTTGGTGATCTGTGGGGTGTCACAGGTCATAGCCTGTCTAGTAGTGTGCTCCTTCCATGTTATCATTTCTCCCTGTGGTCCTGTTAGCTGGCTCCATGAGGTGCTTGTCTGGCAGTAATGTTTTACTTGCCGTATTACATAATGAATAACCTCCCAGCCTGACACTGACCTAGGGACTTAGTGGGCAGATGTTGGGGTTTTAGGATGTCATCCCTCCTTTCTCTTGCCAAGTTAAAACCAAATGAAACTTAAAAGCAACAGAGATCAAAATGTAAACTTTATTACTGATGAAAGCTGGATTGGAGGACATGGTGTGTGTCTGTGAGCTTACACTTCAGCCCCTTATCCATCAGTTCACAGCTAGACTATTAGAACTCTCTCTAGGGAGGCTGGGCCTCGAAAGAGAGAATGCCCAAGAGGGCTGAGCTGAGGTGAACCTGTTCGATTTCTTCTCCCAAATTGGTCAGACTAGTCCCCCTGCCTCCCTTGGGAAGGAGTAAGCTGTGGGGAGAGGGCCTAGGCATGTCACTCCACAGACGCCCCTGAAGGAATCAAGAGGCAAGAAGATGGCAGTTTTCCTCGATGGGCAAAAGGAGAGGAACCTGAGATCCTGCTTTCAGAGAAGCTGCAGTAAGTGGACAGAATCTGGAAGCACCACAACGCACATGAAAATCACTGAGCAGAGCTGCCAAGAGGGTAGGTCCCCACCACATCTGTGGGACCGAGACTAAGAAGCAGTGTGAGTGGATCATCAGGAAAGGACTTCTGGACGAGGTGAATTTCAACTACTAGGTTTTGAAGAGAGGTGATATTGACAGAGTGTGAAACCCCAGTTCGGAGTTAAATATAGTCATAAAGTTGAGCTTTTCTAAACCTTTCATTTACTCTAATTCCTGGATCACTAAGGATTCTCTAAGAATGACTTTTGTCTGTTACCATGTTCACTGACCTAATCTTTTGGTTCTTTTGATTTCACCCAGCAAGCAGAAGAGGAAAACGAGCTGAGGAAGAAGCAGGAACAAGCGCTCATGGAAAAACTCCTGGAGCAGGAAGCTCTGATGGAGCAGCAGGATCCAAAGGTGAGACGTGCCAGGCGGAGATGGCCCCCACGGGAGGGAGGCTGTGGGGGCTCCCCGGAGGCAAGCAGGGGAGACAGGCAGAAAGCCTGATTTGGACAGGATCCTTACCACTCCCTTGTAGAGCCTGGAAACTTGGCAAATGGACATTTGTCCATTCATTGCTTTGTTCAGCAGCCACTGGAAGGAGGCTAAGAGCATGTTGGTGTAGCATTTCCAAGTTTATAGAGATTGGGAACTTAAATCTCACTTGGATATACGTACAGAGAGGCCATACCAGGTAACCTAGTGATTGGACAGCTTAGTGTCCAGGATTGGCTTCATAGGTACGCCCTTGGTAGCTGGAGGGCTTCGCTAGGAGGAATGGGAGGGAACATTTCATGGAGGGAAACATCGTAGGTAAAGACCACACAGGCCGGCAAGTCAAATTATTCTTTATCATGATCCACTGCACCAGGGTTGAAGAAGTTGATGGTTATTACCAGCTGCCTCTTGTTGCCATAGGATCCAGCCTTCTCACTGCTGCCAGTTGGAGTTTTGTGTGTTGTTCTGTGAAAGTTTTTCTTCCCAGAAGCTGTCTGAGGTTTTCTCTGTTTGAGCAGAATGTTGGGATGGTGCTGTTTGTATTTTTGGCAGAGACTGCTTATCAGGAACATAATGCTCAGGCACATTTTGGATTTTCTCAAACCTCCAATGAGTGCTGGTCCCACTCATCTCTGCCATTCTTCTTTCTTCTCAGTCTCCTTCCCACAAATCAAAGAGGCAGCAGCAAGAGTTAATTGCGGAATTAAGAAGGCGACAAGTTAAAGATAACAGACATGTATATGAAGGAAAAGATGGTGCCATTGAAGATATTATCACAGGTAAAAGATACTTCCTCATTGTGGCCCATGGAAATCCCATGGCCTCACCCATTCTGGGCCACTTGCAGATTCTGCTGCTGCTTTTGTCCGGGCTTTGCAAGTTCTTCAGTTGACTTTATTCAGTTCCAGAATTATGCAGAGACTCTATGCTAGCATTTCAAGATATTTATAGTAGACTGTATACTACGTATCAAAGAACCCCAACACTCTCCCTGAAAAATCTCTTTCTTATTTCTCAATATCATTAGAACCCTGTAGATTTCACTAGAGCTCCTTCTCCTAATGGTTTTCCATTGTCTTCGATTTTTACCGTGCTCCACTTTCTTCCTCGCAGCCACTCCTACCCACCTGCCTGATTAATAAATACTCTAGACCCCATTCAAGGGTCTGTACTAACCGTAGTCAGTGCAGGTTTTTCTAACAGGGCTCTGTAAAAGCCTCTTGACTCATTCAAAGGGAGTGAAGACAATAGGAAATCAGGAGCTGGTGCTTTCGTTCGGATGGGCCAACAGGCCTCGAGCCCAGGATTGGGGAATGGTGGTTCTGTCAGCTAGGAATGGTGTCTAACCCAGCTTGGTTCTTCTCTGATTCAGTTGTAGCCTAATGCTTTCTGCTCGAACCAGTTCTCCGGAGTTTCTGCATTCTCTCTTACAGAACAGGATAATAATTTCGGCCACTCTCTTATGGCAGCGGCTACAAGTGACTTTCCTTTCATGTCTGTTGCATATGAATACTGTTTATCAGCTCCCAAGATACTTACAACTTTTTATTGTGGGAAATTTAAAAATATGCAAAAGTATACGGAATAGTATGATGAGTTCGCCTGTACCCATCACCAATTTTCGATTCATGGCCAGTCTTGCTACTTGTCTGTTTCTATCAACTTCCCATTCCTCAACCTCTGGGATTATTTTGAAGCAAATCCAAGACATACAATTTCATTTGGAAATATTTCAGTATGTATCTTCAAAAAATAAGGACTCTTTAATAAAGCAAACAAACATACCCACAGTACCATTTTCACACACCTCCAAAACTAACAGTTCCTTAATATCAAATATCCAGTCATTATCCACATTTCCCCAATTGTCCTAATTTTTTAAAAATATAACTCTTAGACTTTTGACTTCTCGTTTCCTGTTATAGCTTAGTCAGCATTAGAAATAGGGAACCCAAACTGCCAAAACCACGAATTTTTTCACCAGTTCAGACCCAAGGAAATAAGTAAATAAATCACTAAAAAGGAAGTCAATAAAGAATTCCTTGCCCAGAGTAAAGCAGTGTGAGTCCTGAGTGGATAGGTAAGTGGTTAGTGAAAATGCTGGTCTCTGTATTCGGTGCACACACAGTCTGTACATGTGTGCCTGCTGGTATCTCAGTGTTCATCCCGCAGTGGCTTGCAGATGGCCCCCAGATAAAGCCCCATTGGTAAGCACCTCTCCTTGCCTCCCCAACATTGAGGGAGAAGCTCTGCTCCGAGCGAGACTAGGAATAAATCTCTTTCTTGGGTAAGAACCTTCTAGCCTCAGTGCCCCAATAAGATTAACTTGTAGGTAGAGAAGCATCCAGCCTTGCACGTTAAGAGCTTAGAGTTCATTTTTCATCACTTTGTTCTCCATCTCAATGACGCCTGGTTTGTAAAATGAGTGATATGTACAGTTTCCATTTGCCTGACCTAATCATTAATCTACCGTTGGAGGTGAATGAATATCTGCTTATGGAACAGTTTTTATTCTCCTTGGAATATTTTCCATTTTCTGCCCTACCACCAAGCCCCAGATTGAGTAACTCTTTTAGACTTTATGAACTCACTTGGGTATATATTGCCTTCCCCTTTTCCTGCTCACCTCCCCGACCCCCTTCCCCAGGTGTGATTAACAAAGCGCTAACCATGTGTACTAATGCAGTAGATCTTGGCTTTTTACTCTCTTCTGTTTGTCTTGTTTGGCTGTCATTTTTGATGCAGTGTTGAAGACTGTGCCCTTTACTGCTCGCACCGCCAAGCGTGGCTCTCGATTTTTCTGCGAACCTGTACTCACTGAGGAATACCATTACTAAACTATTACTCTTTCTCACCTGATGCTCTTAAAAGGTTGCTACAGATTTTTTGACCTCTTACATCCCTCTGTACGTCTGTCAGGGCCACCCAGTGTGCTAGCATGGAATTGCCGTTTCCACCATGTTATATTTTATGTTGTCTTCACGTTGCATGGTTTTGTATTTCAGTCATTACTGCTTACTTACTGAAACTTTCAGTACATCTAGGAGTCCACATGGCTGTGACGGTCTGGGTGTGTGTGAGCTGAATTAATAGAACTGCTTGCAGAAATTTTCAGAAAAAAGTAAATAGAGCACTTCTGTGAGAATCAGGATTGGGACAAACTAGGTTGCTCATAACATTTTGGGGCTGCTATCTTTGAACACAGAATGATAGTCATTAATAACAATAACTACTCTGCCTACTGTTTATTGAGCACTTACTGTGTTCTAATAGGTTTACAGATATTAAACCAGTCTTCTTTTTGTACTCAGTTAATGTCCTTTGATAGTAAAATGAGCTGCTATACAAGTGCATAGGTATGCAGTGCTCTAAAGTTGCAAAATGATTTGCAGAAGGAACTGTGAACTACACACAGCTGTAAATTGGGCCTTTCTTAACTGTGTTATACAGTTCATAGCCATCATCCACAGTGTGATGGAGCTGATGGCGTGAGCTTAAACGAAGGGAACCCTTTTGACGTATAAGCTGATATAGGCAATCCATAGCTTTTTTCCCTCTGAATATCATGTTATGCCCAAGTTCAGCTCTCAGTAATTCCAAGTTGGAGCAAGGCTGCAAAGCAGGAAGTGAAAACAAAGGTTGAGGAGCTCCCCACCGTCTTACCTCATTCATACTTCTTCACTGGTGGCTCTGTTCCATGTCAAACCCGGGGTATTTCTTCTGTGATGAGATCATGTCTGGACCTGCTTCTTTGGTTGGGATAGTGGCACCAGAAATACTAATAGTAAATGCATATTTTTGGAAAATGCCACTATTCTTACAATTTAAAAAAATGATCAAATCTTCCCAAAAAGTAACTGCTTGGGCTTATTAGTTCCTGATGGCTGGATAAGGAACAAACTACTCTGCAGTGCGCAGTTGACAAGAAAAGAGACAAGGGAAGCACCTACTCTAATTGGAAATAGCCATTGTTTGACTCCCATGCTGAGATTGACATGGAACTGGGTACATGTTTGTTTTGTGGCATTAACTCTTCTGTGAGTTGCACTTGTTATGTATGTTCCTCTGTCTCTGAAGATATCAAAGGACGTGGTGTGTTGTTGCCTGCTCTGCAGCATGCTTACCCACCAGTGCTTATTAACAAGGCTAGAAACTGTCATCTGCTTGGCTAATGTTGACTGTCAGTTTTGCTGCTGGACTGTTGTTCTGGAGCCAAACTTCAAAGCAGCTTGGATCTGGGTGGTCAGAGAGCTAGGTGGGAAGACACTCTCATCCTTTTCTTGTTTTATCTAATACCTATTGTAGTAATGGCCTCCCACTCTTCCTCTGTTGGCTAACATGCCCGGGAATGTTAAGCACTAAGTTGAAATGCTTTCCATTTTCATCCCATTTTTACTTAACCATCATTTTGTGTTTTTGTTTTTTTCTGTTTAGCTTTAAAGAAGAATAATATCACTAAATTTCCAAATGTTCACTCGAGGGTAAGGATTTCTTCTAGCACACCGGTGGTGGAGGATACACAGAGCTGGCAAGCATCACTTTTTACTTAGCTTCCTCCTCTTTCTGTATGCAGATCAATGGTTTCAATCTATGGCTGAGGGTAATACTGGTGAGAGTCTGACCAGGGAGAAGTCTTTGTACCTCACATTCCAACGATGTGAGACTGAGCCTCTCTGTTGGACTCTTTCTGTCCTGCTTCCATGTTCTCAAATGTGACGGCTTGGGCAAGGGTATTTGCTGATGATTGTTCTTGCTTTGGGTGGCTAGGCTGTCATTCCCTTACCCCCTTCTTGGCCTTCAGGTTATTCGGTTAACCCCATTTTGATCTAAAGAAATTGAGAGCAAGTCCTGGCCAGAGAACATGATCCATAGCCTTTATAGAAGGATTAGGATCTTTTGAACTAATTGCTCAGAGGACTCAGGAATCACAGAGCTGCAGGACACTGCATATCCTTGGCCAAAAGTGAAATTCTGACCTTCCATTACCACTCTGGGCCAGGAAGCAAAGGGTCGAGAGGATTAGGGCATACAAAACTATTCTCTGCTGGAATTTAGAAGGAGTAGGGCAGAGTCAAAAATTCCAAGGAGTCATGAGCTGGTGGAGACTGTGCTGAACCTGAGAGCATAGGTCTCAGCACTCACTCAGCTCCAGCTTGTTTTTGCCATGTAAGAGTTTGGGCCCAGTAGTGCCAGGTCCTCCAGTTTTCCAACAGAAGTCAGAAACCTTGGTTTTTATGTTAATTGCCAAGTGAAATATCGGGAAACTGTTAAAATAGAAGTTGGAGGCCAAACATTCCATGAGTCAGGTATGGCCCATCAGCCCCATTTTCAATCTACTGAGTAGGTGAAGAGAGAAAAAAGATTTTGTCTCGTTTAATTCTGTTATTTCTTTGTGTTTCCCTTTCTAAAGATAGAATTTTCCTAGCAGAAGTTAACAATACTAAGTTAATGAAAGGGAAATATATACTCATTGAACAAAACAAGGGGAAAAAGTACAAAGCCTGCTGTATTATTTTTTTCACTACGCCCTGACTTCATCAAAAGGAGGCTACCTGCTAGTTAGGTATTCATTAATACCTGCCTTATTCATTAAGAAAGCACACTTTCATATTAAGAGTGCTTACATAAAACTCCTCTTGTTTACCCCACTTTATCCCTCTAGAACAATGCCTGCTTGAGCTGATATGCAGTGCTTGATTCATTCATTCGAGGCATTTTTTTTAATGTTAGGCATTCTGCTGTGCATTCGCAATACAAATTGGAGAATGCAGGAAGGCCCATACTACTTCTTCCCTCTAATGCAAAACAAAAAATATTGGGTGGCAGGAAAGAATGTTCAGGAATGGAGTATTATTTTGATTTAGTGATTACTTTTATTTAGTGGTTAATGGAGCATTATGTTTCTAATTCACAAAATAAATAACTGACCTCAGCTAATATTAATGGAATAAAAATAAGGGAACCTGTCTCTGCAAACTAAGCATAGTTTCCTTCCTTGATTAAAACCAGATAAGATGGGACAGGGTAGTTGGTTTTATTAGTTTTGCAGTTTACAACTCATTGCAATTATTGTTGCTATTCAGGTTTCCAGAAAGAGGGGGAAAAAAAAAAAGCCACAGTATTTCTAATTGAAGAAACATTTCAAAACAAGACTTCAGCTAGACTCTCTGGCCAGTGACAGAAGCAATCTCTTCTTCTCCTATATATTTTTCTAAAAGTTCCAGAATCCCACCAGTATCATATCCTGTTTTGTTTGACTGTAAATATTGAGGGCAAAGTACATGTCTTTGGCTCAAATACTCAATGAGTTTGAAGGGCTCGTTAGCTGACTCTTCTACACAAGCTGCTTTGATTGGCTGCCAGCTGGCCTGTCTTGCTTAGACACATGATATTAAAGGTTGCAGTTCTCATTGGTGCTCTCCTCTTTACAGATCTTAGAAACCAACCATACAGACGAGCCGATGCGGTGAGGAGAAGTGTCAGGCGGCGCTTTGATGATCAGAACTTGCGTTCTGTTAATGGTGCCGAAATAACCATGTGAACCTGAGACCTGCCTGTATCAGTAGAGGGTGTGCGTGAATGAAACTGTCCACATGAACTTAATGTGCTACCATTTAACTGCAGCCTTGAACATAGATAAAATATTCTAAGGGCTCAGATTTAGCAAACACATAGGAATTTAAAAATGATGGGCTTTCCTTTCAGCCTTTGTTAACAAGTGCCTAAAAGTGGAAGTATCTGCTCAGATTAATCAAAGCAATAGGATTTGATTTGATTAGGTATCTTTTTACACCAGTATGTTATTCAATTTTTTAACCAAAATGTAAATTTCATATTAAATTCATTACCTGCCATTGTGATTGTCCCATGATGGCCCACCCTGGTTTCCTGATAAATTGTAAATAACATGGATGCATCTGCTGTGGGCGTCCTTTGCTGAGATGTCTTTTAAGCAATTAATTTTGTTTCAGCCATACCCATCAACTTTGTATTTTTAAGGGCTTGCAACATGGAAGAAGGGAAAAAGTCACATGATAAACTCCTTCTGCCCATAACTAAGCCCTGGCAAAGTACAAACAGGATGCAATTGCAGTGGCACAGCAGAAGTCAACTCTTTGTCTCGTTTCACATTCTACCACTTCTGTGCTAGGGTACAATGCCCTGAGAGACATTCACCAGTTTGAATGCAAGGATATGAGGGCATACACGTGTTGTTGTAAGACTTATTTGCAGTACTGTGTTCTTCGGCTAGAGGCAGCTTTTAAAAGATAATGCAAATGTATTTATTAATTAGCACTAAAATTAACATCTCAGTAATCAGTATTAGGATTTCTGAGGACCATTATGGGTCAATCCTGAGAATATAAATCGGTGCCTTGCTAGCCAGGGAGAAGTTCACTAGCTCTATCAAGAAGCATTCAAGATTACTTCTGCTAGCATAGTGTTAGTAACCTGGCCTTATTCTCCTCTGACAATCGCAGGGTTTGTTTTGTTTTGCTCCTTCCTTTTGTAAATTGAGGAAGATATATTTGGCATCATATATCAAAGCTAAGAAGTTCTTCTATTTCTTCAGATTACTTTATGGGGAATTGCAATTAAATTGCTGAAATATTCACATTGGGATTAAGTTTAAATGATATGTAATGGGACTAAACAGCCAGTTAAGCCACCGTTGTTTTTCCTTCCTCTCTGGCAGGGCACTTGATCCATTCCAAAGTCAAAAACTGGACGGAAGCTAATTTGTACTTTTCATAATATACATTCTGCTTCTGGCTTACCTTCTTGGTACATTACATCAATATATTAATTGTAAAGTTTACTGTATAGTATTTAACCACTGAATTTATTTTATGTTGTGCTTATGTGAACTCCATGGTGAAGGTCCCATTTTCCTTGGATAATGTGTAGTTATATGATCTCTTTTTAAATGTACAGATATTTTGCTATAAAATTGGTGCAGTTTTTTATGGTTTTTACACTTCTCTTTAATTCCCACCTAAGCCTCTGGGTAATACTGTAAATATTGTTTAAAAATGCATCAGCCTATGCTATACAATCTGAATGTTATTTTAACTTATAGTTTTTTTTTAATATATATATTTAACTACAAGGACAGTTTAGGGATCAGTTACCACATTTCACTTTAGCATACCTATTTACAGAAAGATTACTTTTAAACTGCTACCTGCTAGCACATTTTCATAAATGTGTACTTGAAAAAGAACATGCCAAGATTTTCTTTCTGTTGACTCAACATTCATTTTTGGCGAAAAAAGCAATTTGACCATGAGATATAAAACAAGCAGCTGTTGTGCTGAGGAGCATATGTTAAAATAATTGCCTATTTATTAATTTACAAATAGACAGTAATGTTGGCATGTTCTTTTCTGTATGTCTATTAATGGGCCTGCTTCTTAGCAATGTTAGAAATGTTTTATAAAAGCAGTTCATGTTACTTTTCTGGTCTTTTCATGGCATATGAGCAAATAAACTATTTACACTACTATCCTGTAATACGTTGTAGTCTTTCAATGGTCTATCTTAGGGGGTTTTACCAGTTTTATGTACACTTTTATCTTCTAGAAACAGATAACTGTCTTCCTGCTTGAACTCAGAATCTAAATATATTTGGTAAATTCTAAGAAAAATTCCTCCTTATACAAAATCTTGATCTCTTGCTGTATGAAACATAAGAACCAAATAGGTTTTGGTAGTAAGGTATACATCTCCAAAATCGTACTTATGAATTTATTCCTTCCAGAGAAATAGCACTCTTATTTAGTGAGATGTTGCCTCCTCTCAGATTTGTTCTAATGAGGATGTTGTATATATACAGATAGGGTACATGTGGCTGCATAGAGGTAACCCTGCACCTGATAACAACATCGGTTGGCAAGATACATACAAGCAGTTTGGCCCCCATTGCACAAACATACTGATATTTGTAATAACTCCAGGTCATCAGACAAGTTTAGTATATATATATATATTTTTTTTTTGCTGAGGAAGATTGGCCCTGGGCGAACATCTGTGCCCATCTTCCTCTACTTTATATGTAGGATGTCTGCCACAGCATGGCTTGATAAGCGGTGCGTGGGTCTACCCGAAGTTGAGCATGCGAACTTAACCACTATGCCACTGGGCCAGCCCCTAGCATGTTCTTTTTAGTATTCTTTACTATATTCTTTTTAGGGAAGGAAAGAAATTTGTAATTTATTTTAGAAAACTGTCCAAGTGGCTTAAAAACAACTTGGGGGGTGTAAATTAGTCCTTTAAGGAATTGTTGCATTAGGTCTTTGTTCCCAATTCAGTGCTCTTTCCACTTCAACGTAGTTGAAGCTTTATTTTATAAAAGGGGAAAAAGTTAAATTCTGCAGTTAGTAGCATCTCTAGTTTGTTTTGTGCCAGGACAAGTGGCTCATGGTAAAGGAAATAAGGTCTTCAATATTATCCCCAAAATTCAGAATGTTTTTAAACCCAAAATTCAGAATGTTTTTAAACCCAAACTACAGCTATAAGTTCAAATGAGGCAGATGTGGTTAGGATTAGAGCACTGTATTTAGAGCATTATATACTAGTAGCATCCATTTTTTTTAAAGATATTTACCAATACCTCAGAATTAAGTCCCCTTGTTCCCTACTCACAATCCTCTAAATCATGTTTAGATCTAAATCTAAACATCTAAATCCTAATCCACTAAAATTTACTGTAATGACACTGCAATGAATGCCCAGTAACACTGCTGACTCAACCAACACTGCCTCAACACAGAATGGGACCTGATATCTATTACTAACTGCTGGTCCAACATACTGGATTTTGTAGAATTATCTAATTTTACACTTGAAGATATACTTTTATCATATTAGCTTTATAATTCACGTACCTGTTAATTTTAATACTTGATAAAACTTCTTAGGCCTAATATACTTGTTTCCTAATTTTTATCAGAAATGTCTGCAAAGATGAATATACTGTCAGCCCAGTTCATACAAAAGGATTAATCTGTTTTCCATTTCTTTTAAAACTAATACCCCATCTATTTCCAGAAAAAATTTGAAGAAACAAATGCATGAAGAAATGTTATATACTTTTTTTTAATCTAACTTTTTATGGAGAAAAGAAAGTATTATACTGAGAAAACAATGTGGCAATCTAGCATCTCAGCACAGTAACTGCTGCATATAAGGGGTGCTTAAAGGAAAAAATGGACACAAATCCAATTTATTTACGTAAAAGATGCCATTTTTTCTAATAAATTATATTTATTTACAAAAGGTCTTAATTTTATATAACTATGAGGTTCTTTACATCAGAACAATATATAAACAGAAGAAAAAACCTTGTAATTACAAACACAGAAAATAGAAATCTTGTTCCCCTATTACTCACCTTTCAGAACAAGTCTTCAGTTGTAGAGGTAGGCAAGAAACCAACACCTACCAAAAAAGTTTGCAGGAAGGACCAAAAAAAAGATGTTTATAAATAGCACATTTAGAAACTCCGAGGAACAGCATAAAAGAAGGGCATCAAGAAATGGCTTAGTTTGAATCTGATCTGATTAGGCAGCCACTCATTCATAGTCGGACTGAAAACGGGTGGGGTGGGGGGTGGGGTGGGGTTAGCCAGTTCCCCTGAAATGCAAACATCTACCTTACACCTAGGGCAATTACCATCAAATTAACAGTCAATTACCAATCACTAACAATTAGATGGCCTTGAACTAGATCCTATTGAGTCAGTCACAAGCAGTTTTTATATAGCATGTTTAAAAAAGCATAAAAAATATGCAATTAAGGACTAGGCCAGGTAGACAAGCTAAATAAAATGGAGGACTGGGGGAGTGTGTGGGTAACGAGCAAAATCTTCTCACTTCCTTCCTCACCCTAAATCACCTTAATGTCACCATTATTCACCCCTTTGTCAAAAAGAGCCTGAAATGATTAGTTCTGAGTTTACAATTTAAATAGGAATTTTGCTATTGTGTCCATTAGGGCTTTTAAAGACCAACTCGGATCTAGCTAAATGTTAGCTCAAATAAAAGTTACTACTTTTAAACTACAATATTAATTTATGAATACGATATGAAAGAAGGTATGTTTCAAATCACAAGGGATTTCCTTTCCTACTCAAAAACTACATGGAAATTATGTTCTCACTAACAAGCTTTTGGATGTTTCTAAAGTAACAGTACAATCACTAAAACTTAAGTGCACTTCAATTATGTATGTGGCTTTAGTCGTGGGTTAGTATGATTTATTGCAATGATGCTTTTTCAAGCCCTTTAATACAGATGATGGGTACCATGGATGCTGGATGAGTACATCTGTCGACTAATATTTTATATTCACTAAATGCCTACTATGTGCCGGGCACTATCCACAGGAAATAGCAGTGAATGAAACGCAAATTCCTGCCCCCAAAGAACTTGACCACCACTTAAGTCAAAACAATTAAAAAACTTAAGATCAAGGTAAGAATAAGGAAGGTAAGAAAGACTTATTGGACTGGTATATGCCATTACCAGAACCACAGAATGAGATTATAAGCCTATTGTAATAGATATTATAAAATTACTCATTATTTTGCTTTTCCTTTATGTAAAATGAGTGCAGCTTTACCTAGAGAATGTAAAAGAATTAACATTCTACCTGGTATTTGGAGAGAGACAATCCTAAGGGAAAAGAAAAAGTCTCCGATTTAAGATGTAATGTGCTTTGCCTCATTTTGCTTTTAGAAATGTTTATAGTTCTTTAGTTTTGCAATTTCCATTTAAATTACATAATACACTTAAATAGCCTATAAACTTAAAAAAAAAAAAGCATTCATCACTCTTCCCTGGGTACTATTAGATTAGAAACCGTTCTCTCTCTTAAGCATCTAAGCTTTAAAAAAAAACTTTATATAAAGGGACTACCCCCTTTTTGGATGCAAAAATATAAGTGGCTGCCTAGTCAGCACTCAACTGACCATTAATGCTGGCAGAAAACCAGGATCATCTAGGCAAATGTTTCATAACACAGGATGCAGGTCCTTTGGTAACTGAATGAAAGCTATGGACCTTCTTTCCAGAAAAAGGTACACAGATGTTTCAGTTTTTACAATTTCCTCTTCATTTTGCCAGTATGAATTAAGATTGCCTTACTTTAGGCTAATCTTTTCATTTTATAGTTGTATAAAATGAGGCCCAATTAGCAAAAGTCAAAAGATGAAATAGTTGTGGTACTTTGATCATTTTCAAATGATAAGGCATAAAAAGTATTTTTGTATTCTTCATACTTGTCATACAAATCCAGTTTTCCCACATAGGAATTTATCGATCAGGAGAAAATAACATCAAATATTTGAGGTTCTGATTTTGACTACTAAGTATATTAAACTTATTAGTGAATTTAATCCAATAACTAACTCAATATTAATGATGAGGGAAGGTAAACTTTCGAAATTTATCCAAGAGTCTAAGGCTTAATTGAAAAGTACAAATTCTCCTTATCTGAAAACAAACATGCTTTCCTGTTTGAACATATCTGTTCAACTCTAATAGAACTAATATTCCAAGACATTTCAGCTTTTACCAGACTGAAGAGTTAGAAACCTAATCTAATAGGTTAAAAGTATTCACATACAACTCCGGCTTTAACAAAATTTTCCCATCACCTGTACCTTCAGACTATACAGTATCTTTCTAGGAACTAAATCTTATTTGATGGGATCATCAAAGGTAGACAAGGATTATAGTCACTTCGATTACACCTTTTATAAACAAGGATGTTGTATTTTGAGTTGCAGATTGTTCACTAGTTTTGTTTCTAGGTCAAATAATTTTCATGGGTGAAATACAAGGAAACTTGAATTTGTATTGTCTTGTAGGGATATGAAGTTGTGATAAGCCAGTATCTCTATAAGAAATACAGAAATGTATTTTGAGGACAGTCTAAAACACATCAATAGCTTTTTATTTAAATAGAAAAATCAAAACTTTAAAGTTGTACTTAAGAAAAATCATCATTCATGGAAGTAATTAAAACAAAGTATTACAGATTCTAAATTCTCTTGTGAAACATCACTAGTATTTCTGCCAGTATCATATGCATATTTTCAAGATTGTACCACTGACTTCCGTGGCTCAAGTGTTTGACATGATTAGCAACATTAATATTATTACAGTGGGACCTCTGAAATTAAGTCTAGGCAACTCCATGTTGCCAAAATTGTTATATGTTTTGGTTCTAATGTATAATAGGAGACTAACCTCACACAGGCAACTTGATTACTTCGTATTTTCTAAAGATAGAGATTCTCACTTTCTACCAGATCCTGTCATATTTCACACCAAAAAAAATGACTTGGCAGAGAGAAGTTTAGAAACAATCCACCCTCCCCTCCCCACTTTGAGACTTTCAACAGTGGATGCTACATTTAATTGAAATACAGGGAGCAGAGATGGGAAAGAGTCGTCCTGGTCAGTCCCACTTCAAATTAGGATGGTGAAGGAAAAATAAAAGGAACTTTTTGTTCTTCTAAATCCCAACTTGAAATAGGGTCACTCAAAGTGTCCAAAATAAAAAAATACCTAAGATAGATAATACCAAAGACTATGTGCTAAAATTACTTATTTACTTAAAGAAAATCTCCTGCACTGAAGAAAAAATAGTATAAATTATTACATTACCAACCTTCAAAAGTTAGCATGTAAAGAGTATTCTAGCTTCAAACCATTGCGCCTCTAAAGAATTCTGTAGGAAATTCATAGATCAAAAACAAATATGGGGGCCTCAAATGCAGTGATTTACAATATCTTTAAATATTCGGAAAGGAAAGTAACCTAGCTATGTGGGTAAGATGAAGCAAAATTTCAGGGACTTAGTATCTTTAAGTGATCATATAATTTTTTTTTTAGAGCTGAGCAGTTTAAGTAGAAATAAATACTAGTACACACTAGAAGAGAAGGTTTAATAATTGATAAAAATGTACAAAAATATTCAAATCAGAAATGCTTTAGAATGTGTACCACGAAGTCAATACTTCTCAGTGAGTACGGAAGGTAAAAGACCTCCTCAATGAAAAAAAAGCAAGAGAAAGACTGGATTTAAAGAAAAAAAAAGACAACTGTTAAAGAAAATGTTTAAGTCAACATTGATTTTTGTTTTAGACAAGGATATTGCAACTATCACTTAAAGTTCGGTGGCACATTCTTTAGTAGGTCCTTAAGGCAATATATTTAAACTAATTTACAATTTGATTTGATGTTAACTTTTTAAACATCACCTCAAAATAATGCCCTCACAATAGCCTTTTTAAAATGTATTCGGATGTTTCATAAAAAATAATGGTGGCTTTATTATAGTAGTGCTCATTAGCACCACTACAGTTAAGGGTCTACCAGATCTCCATTAAGAATACCTATTTTTGAGTTCACCATAAAAGATCATATTGGCTTTAACCAGTTGGGTAGTGCACAAAAAAGCAGTTTTATCAGTTGCTGGTGCTTTTTTTTGTACTACTAGATATCAAAAAAATTTTCATTATATCTTCAAAATCCAACTTCTATAAAGTAAATCAAATCATCTCATGACTTAGACTTTAGAACAAAGAGACATCTGCAGTTATCAGTAAATTGCCACCTTTAATCCATCCTGCAGTGCCCTATGAAAGGGTCACAGAAACAGTTATGACCGTATGAAAATATGATTCTTGATACAGAATCAAAAGTTATTTTCAATTTCCTTTGCTTTTATAAAGTCCACAATAACAATACTTAAATGCACTTTCTTTTTCTGTGATATAATTAAAACCCAGTGTTATTTCAATTGAACTTAAAATAGAGTCCCTGGTCTGAATTAGACTTTAAATCATACTGTAAACATATATTTGGTATAATTTATTGATCATCATCCAGTTGCTCCAAAAGGGTCCTTCTGCGCTTTTCCAATTCCCCTTCACTCAGTTCACTGCCAGAAGTATCCCAATTACCCTGAAAAGACATTGAACACAATTACATTTGATGTCAAAAGGTTATGTAATAATGAATCTTTGAAAAATGATCCAAAATCTATATAGATTCTCATCCACAGAAACAAACACATCACAGAGTTTCAAGACTGACCTCTTTCCCAAAAGCCTATCAGTGTGTTGCTAACTAAATACTCCTTGGTTATATTAGGGGAGATACTAAACTCAAGAGACTTTTACATGGTGCTACTTTCACTTTACATTAATATGTACATCAGGGAGAATGGTACCTACCGATTCTGTTCCTTCCTCTTACACACATGAATATGAAACATCTTGTTTCCATTTAATGGAAGCCGGGCAGCGTTCATTTCCTAGGCACTATATTCCTTGCTAATTTTGCAGATTCTAGGTTGTCCTATTAAGTGTTTTATATTACAGAAAGTATTATGCTTTAAGCATACTATTGTGCCCAGATAAACAAACATTTAACATTTATGAAGAGGACTTAGGCTGAAAAAACAAATTCCAAAAATAGAAGTAATACTGCATTATCTGTGAGAAACCACCTTTGAAAAGTGGATAGTTCACTTATCCTCCCTCCCTTCAGGCATTTCATTTAACCTACTATAAGGAAGAAACTGTTAAGCTGCTAATAAGTATCCAGAAAATATGCATTCTTCACCAAGGATGTGCATCAGACTCACCAGTGCAGTTTTTAAAACACTTCCTCCCTATACCGACTGAATCAGAATATCCAGAGGGAGCATCAGGGTTTATCTACATAGTTTAAACTGTCCACTGGTGATTCAGAGGCATTACCCTTGCTAAGCCCATAGCATTTATGGAAGGAATGGCAAGGCTAAGAAGGCTTGGGTTATTGTGCTCTGTCATTCATAAATATATACACACACATGTGTATATGGGAATCTAAAGACTAATTATGTAACTTGATATTAAAATATTAACTTTGGCTTGTAGTCTCCTCCTATCTATTTGTCCTCACCCCTTCCCCGCAATGATTATTTCTAAAAGTTACTGGAATGTTACCTTTTGAAACTGGATTTAGTAACAATGACAACTGTGGATATCTAGAGGGAGAACCCACTTGAGTCTCTTAAATTTTATATTCCTTAAAAAATTAGGTAGAAAATGCCCAGTGGCACTTGTAATGAGAATGTACAAAGCAGAACATCAGGTGCTTTCTTAGTGGGTTAAAACAATAGTTATGGAATGCTACGTTGTTCCTTTTTTTTTTTTTTGGAAATGCTGTCTGCTTGTTTGTCTCTTTGTTTTCTGTTTTTTTGCGAGGAAGATCAGCCCTGTGCTAACATCTGCCAATCCTCCTCTTTATTGCTGAGGAAGACTGGCCCTGGGCTAACATCTGTGCCCATCTTCCTCTATTTTATATGGGATGCCGCCACAGCATGGCTTGACAAGCCATGAACCTGCAAACCCCATGCCACTGAAGCAGAGCATGCGCACTTAACCAATGCGCAACCGGGCTGGCCCCCGCTATGTTGTTTTTTTAAGGAATATAAAATTTAGGACACTCAAATCAGGTCATTCATGACCACATAAGTTAAACTATTTTGTGTGAACTGAATTTTCACTGTTTTCTTCAATGGTAGCAGACCTGAAAGAAGTCTATTCTCTAAACACCATTAAAGTTTAACCACAGTATCCACTTCTGTGTTTTGAAAATCCAGGTATGAAAGAATTCTAAATACTTACAGAATCCTTTCCAGTCTTTTTCTTAGGTGATTTGTGTTTTGATTCTGATCTTTGTCTAGTTCTGTCTTTTTCACTTTCCCGGTCTTTTTCTTTTTTATCCTTCTCTCGTTCAGCATCTGACTCTGGAGAGTCCTGTATAAACAAAAATTGTTAACATTTTGATGAAGACACCATCCTATTTTTAAAAATCCCTATATAGTTAATATTTAAGAACATCTACATATAAAGGGGTGCGTGATCTGCAAGTGGTGAAATTTGAGCTGTTAACAACAAAGACTCTATAATATTTCCAAGATTCATGGGAGGAATTGGGTCTTTCCATCAGGAAAGATGACATTCTGATATGGTACTATGCCACTCTTTTAGCTTCATTAAATTAGGGACAAAGGTACACTTAAGATTGGATTATATCTATTATGTAAATGTAGAAACCTATTACATTTTCCACCAACCCAATAAAATACTGATTTATTTGAATATGCATATAGGATGCTGCGGTTAGCTTAATCACAGGTTGACAGCTGTATAATAAAATTCTTTCCTCAGAATTGCTACTGAGAAGCAGGAATTATTTACAATGTAATGTCTGTGCCTAAAAAAGCAGTCTTTCATTAGATATGCACAAATGCAAGTGAGTAGCATGTAAAAGTCCCATTTAACATGTCTGTTGTGACACCCAGGCCCTTACATTTTGAAAAAGCTCCTTAAGTGTTATCTTGACGTGTACCTAAGACCAAGAACTAAGAGTGGAGGAAGGAGTTGTTTAAACATTTAAACTTGTAGCTCTCAACAAGAGCTATATATATACACGTACATACATACATACAGACATACACGCATGGGTCTTTCTCTGCAACTACTTTAAAAACCACAGTGGAAATCTTATTTTTCTTTTTCAAACCTCAACAAAAGATTTTAATGGAAGATTAAGATGAAGAACTATAAAAATCTTGAGTTTAAGTGCCCACCTGAACTGTGTTGGACTGCACAGGATTGGACAGAAAAAGGTTCTACTGCCACTGAGGAAGTTTAAGGGCAGAAGCCTAGGTGCAGTGTAAAAACTAAAAGTTTGCTTACAGATTTATGTCTCCTCTTCTTGCTTTTCTTCTTATGTTTTTTTGACTTCTTATAGCTTCTCTCTAAGAAGAATGAAAAGAAAAAAAGTGTCAGAATTTGAGGATATCCAAGTGTCAATGATTTTAATCAAGTAAAAAGATATGCTTACCAGACTCAGCACTAGAAGAATGTTCTGAAGCAGAGCGGGAATCTGATCGCTGCCTTTTTTTCTTTGAATGGCTGTCATCATCATCTGAATCTGATCCCTAAACAATACAAATAATTTAATTCATAATGATGCTAACAAATATTTCAATACACCTATGATGCCATCTAATAAACTTCCTTACCGATCGAGAGCGGGAACGTTTCCTGTGATGTTTTTTAGATTTTTTAGAATGTTTCTTGTTCTTTGAATGATGATGTTGACATTCATGCTACAAGAGCAAAAGAAAAAAAATTTCAAAAGTTTACATTTACTTTAGACAGCAGATCATAAATAATTTTTAAAAGCTATACAAATAAGTCTTTAAAGTAAAATTCCATTCATTTTGCATATCTAGGATGTACTCTCTTGAAACTGTGCAAAGAATTATCATCACTTAAAATGTTCTCTTCTGTTCCTTTTTAACCATCCTATACCTACTCATTTAGACTCGAAACACAACAATGTAAAAAATATTAATAAAGTACTTTTTATAGGAATGAGAATGATGTGTGTTGGTAGGGACAATTCATACACTCCAGAAAGGTATAATCTGCAGAACAGTCATACTGCTTTCAAAAACAATGAAATACAATTAAATTCAGACATAGTTTTTCTGATGAATCTGGCTTTGCTTAGTGAGCTAGGCCTGGTACCAAGATAAAGAACTACCTCACAGCCATCCTTCAACTAAGATAAACGAGGTTGGTCTCAAAATAAATGCAAAATCTCCTCCTCTTTCTTTTCATCCAAGGAGCATTCCCTTCCTAGTCAAACTTAAGACACTGGAAGGCAATCTAACTCTAACCCCACATGAAATCAAAAAGGAAATGCTGTCTGTGGATTTTAACTCTTTTATTAAAACAATTATCAGGATAGTAGGAAAGGGTAAACACTACAGTAAAAGCTCCTTGCCCCTAATCACAGCTATGGCTTTGAAAATAAATTCTGCTTCAGTTTACAAGTGGAAATGGAAAATCTGGCTCAGGACTCTCATTCTTTATGTCACTAAATGCTAACTCTTCTTCCTTTTCTATTTCAAGGCCCAGATTATTGGGATTCAAAACCTATTCTAATGTGTTCAGCCCTTCCCTATGCTAACATCTTTAACTCCAGTTATGACTTCACCACTTTACCCCCATCACAGATCACTAAAGAATCTTGTTGGCGATTCTTGATTTGGGGGAAAATGTTAAGATACTACCTAGAGCAGAGCTTCTCAAAATTATGTACATTCTAGTGCTTGAGAATCTTGTTAAAATGATGATTCTGATGCAGGATGAGGCCTGAGGCTCTGCATTTCTAAGAAGCTCTCAGGTAATGCAGATGTTGCTGGTCTGAAACACACTTTGAGTAGAAAAGATCTAGAGGCCAACAGGACTAGATCTAGAGGCAGCTAGGAAACAATATTGGGTACGTGTGGGTATATATTAACAGAGCAAACAGTTGTCAACAATGATATTCATCAAGAACGATAAATCCAACGAAATAGTCAACGGTCAGTTAAGGGACCTGCTATGCCCAATGACCATGCAACACTATATTAAGTATGTCCCAGCTTTTAGCTTGTTTTAAAGTATTAGTTTGTCTATAACTGGCAGCACAGCCTACTTGCTAAAAGCACAGACCTTAGAATCCAACAGCTGGGTTTGCAAATTACTTTATTTCTCTTTGCCTCAGTTTGCTCATTTGTAACTTCACAGGGTTGTTATAAGGATTAAGTTCATATATGTAATATCTATAAAACAATTAGCACAGCTCCTGGCCCACACAGGAACCAAATATTATTCAATAATTATTGGTCAAGTTAGCATATTTACCACATACAAATGTCTACCTGAAATTTTCATCAAAATACCCTTATTCAGCTAATGGAGTAACTTGCAATTTTATCATTACTTGTTTTAACCAAAATTTACTACTTACTCCATTATCTTTCAGAAGCCCCGAGTTTTCAATACATCTAATGTAGTGTAGTATTTGAAACGTGCTTAAAAGCCATTTTCTATCTGCTTTACAAGATTTTAAGTTTTCTTTAGGTTTACTCGTTAGTCCATGTGGCTGCTAAATTGCTAAATATCTAAAACACTGTAAAAATATGTAACAAAAATGAAGTCTCTGTAAACAAATCATTATACTCCCATACAAGCTTAGCTGTTTCACTTAAGAGCAGTTTCTATAGAAAAAACCATTCCCTAACCATCCCAGCTAACTACATTTGTATAAAAGCAGCGCAATTTAAGAAACATATTTTGATCCTTCTCAATTCGTCAAATTTTGTTTATATTTTCATATATTTTATATTTCTGCCAGTTATGAGAATACTAAAATTACCTCAAGCACATGCATAAAATCTTTAAATATTCGTTTTCTTTCAGACTCTAGAGTTATGTCCTCAAATGCTGGCTCTTTTACAAATCTCTCCCGGATCTGAAAAATTCAGATATGGAATAAATATATGAATACCAACAGAAGTATGCCAATGTGACAAAGAAATCATAACAGCAAGTGAAAACTCTTACAGCCTGGTCCCCTCAAGTCTATTATTTCCCTTCCTCTAAAGTCCAAACAATTTTTAACAAGTAGTCCTAAATGCTGACTTTATACTTTTAATCTCACTATATGTAATATACTCTACAAATAACTTCAGCTTGTTTTTATGGCTCTAAAATGGAAAAGGAATTATCTTCAATTGTAAAGGAAACAGTTCATTAGAAAAATTTTACAAGTATACATACATCTTCCCAAACAGCATCCAATTCTATTGGAGGAGTAGCTTGTTTCAACATACTCTTAAATGCAGATTCTTTTCGCTTCATCTTCCGAGCCTCCTCTTTTTCTCTTTCACGTTCACGGGCTTCTGCCTTTTCTAGTAACTGTTAGAAAATCATATTTAATCAGTTATAATAGTACAATTATAATTTTTGTTAGCTGAAATACTTCATTATTCTTAAGTATTTTCCTATCATTTAAAATACTTAAGGGCCAATTTATAACACTAGTTAATTTGAGCAAAGAAAGCTTAACATCAACCTATCATCTAAATACATTTTATCTTACCCCAAAAGACTGTCTACTACTCTGTAAAATCCTACTCATATTCCCTTATTTCAGTAGCCTACAACTTAAGTACTCTTGGCTAAATATATTAAAAACTGTACTATTAAACTAGTTGTTTATAATTAAAGATGATAACTTACACTGTTGAAAGCCAACTTAATATTTCCAGCATCTAATGTAGTTGATCTTTTAGTTGAACTAATTATTGCCACAAAATCTTCAAAAGTGGTATTTACTTCAACTACAAATCCTTTATCCTAAAAAACAGAATTCTTGTTAACATATAAATCAAAGGAACACAGTATCAGCTTCTAAAATATACAACAGAGAGTTAACAGTAAGTATACTATTTACCTTCAGAATGTCTTTTATTATTTTCTTCTCATCATGGTAACGTGCTTTAAGATCCTCAACATAAAACTTGAAAAGGTCAAGTGCAGTTGATCCTAATGAAAAAACTAAAGAAGTCAAAAGCTAGCTCTAACCAAAGAGCTGCAATGACTTTTTTGTTTGTAAAACAAAATAAAGCAGCCCCCATCCCCCAACACAACCACGTTCCCCTCTGGCACATTCCAACTACTATCATAACTAAATTAGTAAAGAATCTCACCCGGCTGACCAAGCATATTAGTGAATCTAATGTCAGAACTAATTGTTGGATACAATTCCATCCAAGATGACATAGAATGCAGTTGTCCATGTTCATGCAGTTCATCTAAAAATATCTGGGGGAAAAAAAGAAAATCTCATTATAACTGACAAGTTTTTAAGGACATTAGAAATACTAGTGTAACATGAAAACACATGTTAAAAACAGCAATATTTAAAACTCTTCTACCAATGTTATCCTAATATGATTACGTGCAATGAACATTTGCTCTTTGATGAAAGTAAAATATGCTTTTAGGCGAGAAAGTATTTTGCACTTCAGAGTAAAGGACCTTTGAAAAGCTACGTATCTTTCTAGGCTTCAGTTTACTATCTCTTAAAATGGAACATCATTTCCAGTTTAAAAAAATATATAAAGGTAAAAGTTAAAACACTGGATATTATCTATCCCAAACGATGAGGCTAAAGAACGTGTATGTATATTTTCTGTAAAATATACTTTCTGTTTTTAAACATAGAGCTTTACGTGTTCTGGGTGTTTTAATTTTTTATTTAATTTTCTTAACAAATGTGGGCCTCTAAGAGGAGAATATATAATTTTACCAAAGTGATATGTAATAGTAGTTTGGGGAAGGAGGACTAAACCCCATCTCTGATTTCAAAACCTATTTCCTTTCTTTCATATTACTATTATACCTTAAATCTAAATCTTTATATACTTATTCCAATTTCTCTTTTTTATCCCTTTTTACTATTTGCTGACTTTTAGGGCAACATATTGGGACACTAGTACTCAGCAATTTCCACATTTCCTGCTTCCCCAAATTTTTAGGGAGTTTAATCCTACAAACAAATGTCCCTAAAGAACTATGGCCCCAAATTCTGCTCTTAAAATTCCTATACCTACATCATTCAATATGGTAGCCACTGGTCAAATGTAGCTTCTAAGTACACGAATTGGCTGGCTAGTGTGAACTGAGATGTGCCATCAGTATATATCACATAATGAATTTTGAAAATTTATTACAAAAAAATATCGATTGCATGTTAAAATGATAATATTTGGATATACTGAGTGAATAAAAAATTCCTAAAATTAATGAGAAATTAAAATCATGTATGTGGCATACAAATTTTTATTGCATAGTACTGCCCTGAATAACATTAGACACCTATAACTCCACTTCTCTTCAAACAATAAGCATGTCCACACAGTCTTACATTTCCAAAATTCTTTTCTCAAATTTAGTATTTGTCCTTTTCTCCTTACCCTTCAACATAAATGGAATCCTCTCTTAACCCACCCCTGCTGTGTGATCACCAGGTTCCTCACATGCTCCCTCTTTTCAGTCCCTAAAATAGCTTTAGAAACCATCTTCAATAATGGTCTCTAGGATCTTAGAATCTACTCCACTTTATCAGACCTGCTTTGCTAGTGTTTGTTTTACTTCCAGGTTGCTAAGATCTGATCAAGTCATAGAATTTTGAGATTGAATCAGTTTCAATAGTGAATCCTGAACCTGAGTAAAAATTAGAATCACCTGAAACTTTTTAAAAGAAATATATATAGATTGAAATCCAGATATTTGTAATTTTACTTTTTAAAGATCACCAGATGACTCTGAGGTGAATTCAGGTTTGGAAACCATTATGCTAAAATTGTATGCTTCTTACTCTATTTACTAATCCTATTTTAGGGAAGGGAGGAGAAGCCTAGCCTTTTACATTATGGAAAACAAGCTGCTTCAAAGATTGCTGAGCCTGGTATTTTTCCTTCCCTTAGAGGAGAGGTTCCCAACCTTGGCACTAATGACATCTTAGACCACTTAACTCTTTTTTGGAGGGGAGGGTATTGGCCTATACACTGTAAGATGTTTGGCAGCACCTCTGGCTTCTACCCTACTTTACCTCTACTGGCTAAATGCCAGCAGCACCTTCCCCCGCAAATCATGACCATCAACAAAATCCCAAGTTGAACAACACTCACTGCCTCAGAGCCAATTCAATAATATTTCTTTTCCCTCATCTCCTTCCTTCTGTCTCCTTCTATATTGTTTATAATGTCACTATTCATATACATGCTTGAATTCCAAACCTTCGAAGATTTTGTTTAATGGGAGATACCCGTATCGTTCAATCCTTTTTTCATTCTCTCCCTCTTGACTGGTTTTCTTACCCAAGAAAAGCCCTTCTCTTAACCGTGAGCTTTACTTTATCCTCAAAATATCTGAGAGAAGGGTCTAATTTTGCCTCCATATACCTTTAAACTATTTGGCAACCCTTTAACTTTCCCTACCATGCCAAAAGTTACTGAACACCTTAAATGCTACACCTAACCATATTCTTTCAGTCTTATTTCCTAAAGATTCTAACATTTGCTACTTTTGGTATGTTATTCTATCTCAGTGGTATCTCAAAGAATCATCTGAACGACTGGTAAAAACCAGATTGTTGGGCCCCACCCCAGAATTTGATTCAGTAGGTCTGCTGTGGGGTTTGAGAATTTGCATTTCTATAACTTCCCAGGTGATACCAGTGCTATGCATCTAGGAACAATGTTTTGAGGAACACTGCTCTATCTAAAAATTCCATCTTGGCTTCTGAGACACTACACATTCCCCTGATTCCCCTTTAAGGCCTCTAGATCATTCCTTTCCACTCTTGATATAAAATCAAATATCAGTTTTAAGACTTAAAAAAAAATCAGATTTCTTGTCATCGATGTGACAAATATTATTAATTATTACCTGACTGGCAAAGGAGTACTCGATAAAAAGACAGCCAAGATCATAACCATTATTACTCTGAGACTGTTCTTTCCATTCATGATCTTTTATTCTAAATGTCATTCTTCTATTTCATTTTACTGAAGTTCTAAATATACCTTTGACAGGTGATATAGTAAGCAAAGGAAAATTACTGAGCTGAATATCAGAAGCAAAACCCATATAACATGCTAACACCAGTTATATTAATAGTACTCAGAAACCATGCCAGATACATACCAATCTGATTTAAAGCCATATTTCAGGCTTAGCTAGAAGACCCATGTGGCCTTTACATTAGGATTTCTCCTCCACATTCTCCAGTCCTAGTATTGACATTGTTCATTCTATTTTCCGTGACCCAGATTTATTTTTATTGTATTATTATTTTATCACAGGTCTCCTTATTGTAAACCATTGCAAAACCTTCTTAAGAGACATTAAAGTTCAATGGTTGTAGAAGAGTATTAATTGACCTCCTAAAAATCTGTTCTCCCCTTTGTGGGCACATGGCTGCTGAGTTAGAATTTAGGGTTTTAGCTTTCTTTGTAGGTAGTTGTGGCCATGTGACTAAATTTTCAGCAACTCAATATGAAGGAGGGGAGTAGGACTTTTACATCACTGGCTTTTAAAACAACTGCCCTTTCAACTTCTTCCAAGCTGAAATGTGATCATGGGGACAACATACCCCTAATCATGCAAACAAGGCTAATAGCCTATTTCAAAGTATAGGCCAGCAGCATCACTATCACCTGGAAACTTATCAGAAATGCAGATTTTCAGAACCCTCCCCAGACCTACTGAATCAAATTCTGGGGGCAAGGCTCAATAATCTGTGGTTTTAACAATCCTCCAAATGATCCTTTGGGAAACCACTAAGATAAAGGAACCCATCAAGAGTAGCAAAAGTTAAGTTTTTATGCAATGCGGACTGAAATAATGCAATTGGCTGTGGCATTTAAGATGGTTAGTGATCTTTGGCATGGTGGAGAGGGTGTTTTTTTTTTTTTTTTTTTTAAATTTTTTTTTTTTTTATTTTTCCCCCCAAAGCCCCAGCGGATAGTTGTGTGTCGTAGCTGCACATCCTTCTAGTTGCTGCATGTGGGACTCGGCCTCACGATGAACGGAGAAGTGGTGCCTCGATGCGCACCCGGGATTCGAACCCGGGCCGCCAGCATCGCAGCGCGCGCACTTAACCACCAAGCCACAGGGCCGGCCCCGAGGGTGTTTTTTAAAAGGTCTCTAAGTGATTCTGATGTATGCTAAGTTTTGAGAACCAGTGCCTTAGGGGATGGCAATGTGCTCTACCCTGGACTATACAACTGTTATTTCAAGAAATAAAATTCTTATTTAAGCCAATACGTAACTTAGCATTTTTCTTAATACAGTGTTCAATGGTAGAGACTGTAATTAAGACTGCATAGATTCAAATTCTGGCTCCGCTATTCAGTAGTTGATTTGGGCAAGTTACTTCACCTCTCCAAGCCCATTTCCTTATCTATACAAATGGACATAACAAAAATAGTACCTACTCTTATAAGATAAGGCTGTCATAAAAATTAAGAGATTATAAATTTAAAATGTATAGCAGTAAGAAATCAATTAGTGCTGTTATTATTATTATAATTATTATTGAAATGCACAATCTGGTGAAATATAAAATGCGAAAATTAATTGTGCCATGGTATTCTCCATTACTGAAAGAATAAAAGTGATATTTGGAGGTGAAAATGAGCCACTGGCCTACATAAAAAATATGTAATTTCAGCTCCTGTGTATAACTTTCAAGAATTATGGCCCATCCCCAAACTATACCACAGCATTCCCTAGAGATGTCTAGAGCTTAAAAATGAACTAGTACTAATGATTCACCACACATATTTTGTTTCAGTCTCATGCTATTCCTCTTTCTCAACTGACACCATATCTATCGGTGCTCACCTTAAATACCAAATCTGCTACAGCCTTCTATGTTCCCCTAGCCTAAAATGGCTGCTTTCCTTAAGTGGATTCATAACTAACTGTATAACTTGAGAGTTAAATGTGTACAAATCCTCCACAAAGCATAAGTTAATGACCTGGACTCAGGTGTCTCAAAATTGTTTATATCTTTGTTCAAGCTCATTAACCATATTACAAAATTAAGCTAGAAAAGATATTTTTTTATTACCTGAAAAGATTCTCTGTTTTTACGCTGTCGTCTCCTTTCTCTGAGCAAACTCTTTTGTTTTTCTTCTTCTTCTTCCTTTTCTAAAGCTCGAATGTGTTCTTCAAAGCAAATTAATGCATCTTCTTTATCCATGTCTAGTTTTTTTCAGTCAAAAAAAATTAAAACGTCAAGTATCAGTAAGGAAAGCAGTTTAATTATTTACCTTAACTCTCTACAAATTTCAAATTCACCTTTCCAAAATACTTGTATTTAAACTCCAATATGACTTTTAATCATCTAAATAGGACACATTTAAGGAAAAATACAAGATCTCATTAAGTATAAGATACCCTGAATCAGAGGATAAAACAAAGATCATGCATATGACACAAATAGTAAAAATAAAATTGTTATGACCAAATTTGTCAGTAATATCCGAATTACTCAAGGAGATTTTCGAAGTATAGAATTCCAGGCCCTACCCCAAACCTATTGAAGCATGGTATTCAGAGGGGTAATCAAGAAAGCTGTGATTTAAAAAGCAACTAGGTAGGTTGGAAAAAGACAAAACTTGGGGAAGGTTAATGTAAGATAATGCTAATACTTCTGCTTTTTGCAAATCTCTAAAGCCATTACCTCAAGAAGACAGCGTCAGTAAAATCTGGTAATTAATTTGGTTCTTACCAAGTCATATATAAATAGCAAAGGACAATTTCAACTTTGACCTAGGATAAACATATTTCAAAGATTATCTGATAAAGCTAACTTCAGATTTTTGGAAAAATATTTTGTCCTGAATCACAAAACTTAATTAGAAAGAAATATTCTATTTGAAAACAAACAAAAACATTTTTTCAGGCATGGACAAACAATCGTGCAAAATTTAGTTAGTGATCTCATAAAAAGAGTGAGAAATCTTTGCTGCTGGACAACTTTTTAAAAAAACTGTTTCTCTCATTTAGTCATTATTCTTACTCTGTAATTCCTCATCTTCTGCAAAAGTTGGATTATCCATCAGATACTGCTGGGCTTCAGACCAAGTAGTAGAGTATGTTACGTTAGCCATGTTGTCAAGTATGTTTTTTAAGGCTTCCCAGTTTCTCTTACGCAACTGCTTTGCTTGCTCCTAAATCGAAAGTATGAACACACGTTTTGAAGTTCGAAGAAGATATAATATTTGAACTGCAATTAGTGAAGGTTTCTTTACATTCTAACTGATGACCAAATTTCAAATGTGACTCATTTACTTTAAATATCAACACTATTTACCTTTCCACTGCTCTTGCCTAACTGCTAGGCTTGGTACTTACCTTCAATTTTTTCACCTCTCTTCTAAAGCTGGAATCTGGAAACCATGCCCCTCCCCACTCCCACTCCATAAATCTCTCTTCCCACAACTATGCATTATAGACATGGTCTAAAACTAAGATTCCTGGACACAAATCACACAATGTGTAAATGCCAAGGTCTTCAATCACTTTTAGCTATATTCAAATTTTTGTTAGTAACACATTTCTATAAATCTCTTGAAGACTGGATAATATATAACAGTGCATAATAAAATAGACATGAGCAAAAGAGGTGTTTTAAAACACTATCCTACAAGTACATTTTAGTGGAAACAATTACATATTACTGCCCTTCTTGTAAAAGAATCATAAATAGATGCATCATAAGCAAAAATACTGAGTACTTTTTAAACCTAATTAGCTAAAAAAAAGTATCTTTCAAAGTGGGCATAAGACAGCCAATTAATGATAATTCAAGTCACAGTGGAATAAATCTGTACCTACTATGTCCACATCAGTACTTCTTATTACAGGAGCTAACCACTTTTAAACCTAACTTATAATAAATAGATCTGTACCACATAAACTGGGTAAACTAACCAACAGAAACGGACATGTTATAAAGTAACTCCTAATCGGAATGAAGAAACATCTTGTTGTATCCATAAATACCAATAACTATGAGTGAATAATACCTTTTCTTTTTTTGAAAGAAAGAATAAAACATCTTCATAGATTTCAAGACGATCACGTTCTGATATTGCATTCCAGACTTCCATCTCTCCAAACATTTGCTCTGCTTTTCTATTTGTTAAAAAAATTAAATATTACTCTATATTATACAATAAAAATTAATTTTAAGCCATTTTAATTTTATACTAAAAACCACCAAATGAACACTCTTTTGCACTCTGAGTTCATGACTGTATTATAAAGGAAAATTTTTGCATAATTAAGAAAAAGAACACAATAGCTTAGGCCTTCATTTTTCCTTAGAGATAGAGGCGATAATTCTAGCTGAGCAATGTTTTGTAGTCAAGACTATCTCTATTTCTTAGGGTAGCTACAGAGATTACCAAACTGCCCATGGAACTAAATTATAGACTTCAAAAAGCTGTCAGAAATTTAGTTAACACATAAAATAGGACTATTTAAAGAAATGAAGAGTCCTTCACTAAAACTCTTTCGGCAGAGTGAGGAAAATTAAGAAAGCACATAGGGAAAATGAACTTAATCACTTATTGCAAAAATGTTAATACTGAATTACCCACAATTTTAAATAATAAAGCTCTCTAAAAATGAAGAATGCTATATAAATGCAAGTTTTCAGAATACTATACTTAATAAAAATAGCCTATTTCTATTCCACAAATATCAAAAATTTCAATTCTTATATAATTAAATCTCTCTCCTTTTTGTTCTAGTTCCTAGTTAATATAACTCAATAAGTCTCTAAGTTAAAATTCCACATTTAACTACTGATTTACCTTGTGCCTTATGAAACTGCCACATTCACAATCATTTAGCTTTATTTAATAAGCATCTACTTTGGATTAGTTACTGCATTTGGCAAAGTCTGACACAATAATAGTGCAGTAAACATACACCATGTATCACTAAAAATCTTACTTGTATCTGGTTGTGGAAGTCATTTTCTCATGGTTTTCAAGAAAACGCTGAAAGGATTCCTTAGCCTCTTTGTATTTTGATCTTGCTTCTTCTTTTTCTTCTTTCTCTGTCTGGACTTTATAAGCATTAAAGGCCTGCTTTTTTTCACTCAACTTTGCTAAAGCACTGAACAATAGAAAATACCATATAAGAGTGAATGAAGGCAGAATGATTAAATGTTAGTGCTTTGAAAAAACAATACAATTGCTTTTATTCATAAATTAAGAAAATTTCAGCAAGATATTAAAGATAAATGATTACAGAAAGTAATTTCTACTTTAAAAATAATTCTAATTTCATCTGTAGCAGGGTGCTCAAATGATATGACAAGCCTTTTGGCTTTTTGGATTCCTATCAGACATAAAACAACTCTATTCTTATTTTTATTCAAAATAATAGAAGACAAGGGGAGTGAAAAGTTATACTATTTTACAGTTTTGAATTTGCTAGGCTGGCTATGCTCAAAGTGAAAAGTAAATAAAAAACTGAAGTATTACCTATATCGTGGATCATTAATGATCATTTTCATAGCTTGCTCCCATGAAGCGTTGGATGGAACCCTCTGAAAATCATTTAATAAAAAAATCAGAATTTTGCAAAAACATAGTAAAAGTCATACAACAGGAAACAAAGTATAATACTCACTGCAAACATCAAGCACTTCCCTTTGCAGGAGTTTGAAAAAAGGTCTAAAAGAATAATTTCTTATTGAAGCAAAGGCAAATCTGGGTAATATACCTATAGACTAAAAAGAAAACTTAAACTGAATTTAAACAGAGCATGAATACTTTTTCTTAAGACTACTGAATAAAAGATAACTTCTGTGAACAAAAAATCTTATATTAAACACTGAGGTGGAATGCGCTATGTAGTACCTTACACACAATATTTTTTTTTATTCAAAGTCAGTTTCAGAAAAATGTTCTTCAAAAAAAAATAAGACAAATGTAGTTCATTTTCAGTTTATGAAATTAGTATTTTCAATAAAGGCACGAAGGTACTGATTGCATTAAAGAGTAACTTCATTTACTAGATAATACATTTACATATATAAAAGTCTGTAATATAAATACCTTTTCTTTCAATAATTCTTTAAATGCTTGCTTTGCCTCCTCCTTTGTATTCCAAGTGTATGTTTTTTTTGCTGGCTGGCTTTCCTCCTCTTCTTTTTTGGGAGTAAAACTAGAGGGAAATTTAAACATGTTTTTTATAATTTAAATAAACATTTGCTTCATTTAAAAAAATGTTTTAATTATTATGTTTGATGTTGACCTAAAATTTGACAATTTTAGAATAAAGTCTCCTATATGAACCCTACACTCTTACCTGAACATAAAGAAATAAAGGTAATATATAGTTCTTTTGGAAACATTAAGTTATTAAGACCCTGCACAAAGGCCAAAATAAATATTTAATTACACTAAAACACTAATTCCACTAGTCCACAACTTAAGACTTTTAAATGGCTTACAAAACTTATTGAATACCTTCATTTTAGTACCTTAATAACTGAGGATTTGGGCAAGTGCGCATAAATATAAAAATGACGTAGAGATCAATCTAAGTTGGGGTCGGCACACTACACCCCACAGGCCAAATCCAGCCCACTGCCTGTTTCTGCAAATACAGCTTTACTGGAACACAGCCATGCTTGTGAGTTTACATATTGTTTATGGCTGATTGTGTGCTACCACAGCAGAACTGAGTCATTGAGACAGACTTTATGACCCATAAAAACAAAAGTACTGACTTTTTGCAGTTTATAAAAAAGTTTGCTAAACAGTGATCTCAAACAAAAAAAATTTAACATATCCAAGATTTATCAATTGTACTTGTTTGGGGGTCTTTATGAAATGAAAAAGTTGTAGAATCCTAACATTTCTCCCTATATAAAAAGAAAAGCACGCAGAAAGAACAAAAACAAAAGAAACTAAGTCCAATGTAAGTATGAATTCTGGAGTTTGAATTATGAGTGCTGGAATATACATACAAAAAAATACAAATATATTCACATCCTCTGAATCAAGTAACGTTACTTTGGAAAATTTATTTAAAAATGTCAAAAATATTGTAAATAGTCTAGTCAAAAATTAACAGCTGTAAATGGTCTGTATTACAGTAATTAAAATCAAAAGCTTACAATGACTTCGGCACTGTAATAAGGAAATACGGGGAAAAAAAGCAGGAAACAATTGTTTGCTATTAAAATTATGAAAAACAAATTGTGGAAAAAATACAGTAGGTATTAAATGATGTAAAAGAATGTTATACCAAAAAGCTTAAATGTCTTTTAGTAAAAGAATGCTTAAATTTATGTATATGTAAGTAATAAAATAATTAATAGGCCATCATTCAACATGATAGGGTAAGTATCTTTAGCCCTGTGGAAGATGTCTCTGATATGCATTTTTAAAATATATATATGCACAAATTTTAAATAACCAGAAAAAAGGCAGAAGGATATAAATAACATATTAACAACTACTCTTTTATGCCTTTAAACATACCACATAGATTTCTTTTTAAACTTCTAAACACCAGAGAAAATTATAAAGCTATTTCCACTTTGGGAAATGTACATAAGAAAAATGAGCAAAAGGTTTACAAAAAGGAGTATGAAGATGAAAGCATGAGTGATCGTTTGGCTCTTGACATCATGGTTAGCATTATTAAAGTCTAAGAAACATAGCTCAAGGTTCCTTTTCATAGCTGTATAAAACACAGCCATATGAACTATTACTAGATCAGAGGGTACACAAGTACATGCTGACTGTAAACTGACAAGTGCAGCTATTTTGTCTTATTAAAAAGTTGTGCCAATTTAATCTCACTAACAGTTTTCCTATACCCTGCTAAGTGTTATCTTTATTTTGGTCTACTTGGTTTTTCCATCTGTTTGTTCGACATCAAACTGTAGCACTTCCTTCCAGTGCTGTACTGAGCCACATTTGAGACTGAGGCAAAAGAAAGAAAATCAGTACTAATCCTGTCTTTATTTAAAATTTTATTTTATTAATCGTGGACTTTTTGCATTGATTTTGATTTAAAACATTGCATCACAATATGATATATCTTGATTACTAAGGTTTTTAGCACTCCTTTAAATTTATGCCTCATCCTATCCCCAGCTCTGCTTCCTAAAACTTCCGTGGATTAGTTTTGCAACAGTTTGATAGTATGATCCCAAAAAATTCAGTCTCAAAAATGATACATCATCTAAAGGCTTATGTTTTGATTATCAAAAAATTTTTAAACACTTAATGGCCACTGACTAAACTGGCAATTTCTGGTATTAATGAAGCCTGGTACTGATTTGCAGAAGACAAGTTACTAAACTTACTCAGCTACAGTTTCCTGCTTAGATGTTTCTTCTCCAGTATTGCTGGATTCTTCAACACTTTGATCCTGAACAGCAGGGGTACTAGTAAGTTGTGCTTGTTCTTCAGTTGAAATTGTTACTCTGTTTTCATTATCTACAACAGTAGCAACAATCGAAGTAACTTCAGGCTCAGGAACAACTGGAACAGTTCCACCAACAGTATTAGAAGCAGAGGTGGAAGCACTGGCATTGGCTGCAGCAGCAGCTGCTGCGGCGGCGGCTGCTGCTGCAACAACCGCAGCTGCTGCTTCTGCAGCAGCCATGGTGCTCATTGTGGTCGGAATTTCTGTTGTAGGAACTGGGGCTGCTGATGTTGTGGTGCACTCTTCTTGCTTACTATATATTTAAAAAAGAGAAAACTGGTCATTTCGTTACTAATAATCATAAAGCCAAATAAAGCTAGTTTTTAAATATCATAAAATCAAATGAATAAGAGAAACTATTAAAAGGCAAAACAGGCAGTGCTGCCAAACCATTAAGCCATTCAAAAGATTAAAACCACATAATGAAAGTGGATTACTTTAATTTAGCATTTGTTATCATATGATAGGCATTCACACAACACTCGGCATTTCCAAAAGTCCAATAATTGTTTTCATTTACAAAATGCCCTATGAGATTGTATTACACCATAAAATTTGACCTATATCATAAATTTCTGTAAGAACTTTAAATTGAATCCATTTCACCCATTAAAAGGAAAACCTGAGTGAAGGATTAACAAACCAAATTTTGAACTTTTCTATTAACACACTCCTCTTAATACTTAAAGGATACAGTCCAAATTCAAATAATCACTGTCTAGTAAAGCACCAAAGCACCATTTGTGTATCTTGAGTAAATATCCTTCTTCCTGCCCCAAATCCTCCAAAGTCATCAAACCATCAGGCCTAACATGTTAAATATTATTTACACGGACAGTTAAAACAAGGATGTTATAGTAACATTTGTAAATTCATAAATACATTTTGATGTCTAAAATTGCTTACCTGCTTTCTTCAGCTTTTATCATTGCTATTAAAGAGAAAAAAGAAAAGTTACATATAATTTTTTTAACACAATCACTGAAAACAAACTTTAAAGGAGATAAAGAAAAGTTTCATAGAATAAGATTTAATTTACCATCCTAAAAAAAAAAAAAAAAAATCACCACTTTTACTGAGCAAATGCTTGCTCCCAAGTTCCAGGGCAGCAATTAAAGAATGAAGACAAATTTAAACAACAGCAGTTTTTAGGACAACTTCTCCCCACACTGCTACTTTCCCAAAGGCTGCTGGCTACTGCAAAAATTCCCTGAAAGTATCTGCATAGTTCTGAAATAAAATAGTATTTTCCCCAGGGATAAACCTATTTGATTTCTTTTTAAGATATTAAATTCAAAACGGAATCAAATTCATGTTATGAAATTCCAGCACATATATACTAGCATTGACAGGTAGATAGATAGTTATGCACACCATCTGTAGTAGGGTTATATCAGAAATGAGCTTGATATTTCTTACATGAATAAACTGGGACTCTACCTATCTACAATATCATTATTAGCCAATGCTAGTATAGACATTTAAATCAAGCTTTAACAATTTACACTCATTATTTCAGTTTTCATTCTAGTTAAATTTTTCTTTAGGGGTAACAAAAATATCGCATTTACTCAGCATCATTAGGGAATGAGGTGCTCCATGTAAGTGATAATATAAACTTAAATCTATGAAAATATTTAAAAAACTTATCCCCCTTTAAAGGAAATCATTTCTGAAAATCTGTTTAGGCTGGCTGACCCCTTTATTATGTTTTAAAGGGGTTATCACTACTGAGATAAATTAACATGTTTTTCAGATACAATGATGATCTAAGCTAATAAGGGTGACACAAATAGATTTAAGACCACAAGGCCTCTAAGAAATTTTTATTCTCTCTTTCCTGTCAGACATCACTCCACATTGCACACTTTTTTATTAGGCCCATTCTCCTACTATCTGTTGCTTCTAACCTGATATAGTTTATGACACCAGATTCTATTAGAAGTGAGAGAAGTAAATTCTCAATTCTTACTCGTAATCTCTGCTATTGTAAGTCTTTTGGTTTTATATTAGATAGTAAGTATTTCTAGATTTTCAGGGGTATTCTGAATAGTTGAGGATGTTGAAAAATTCTCCCTTCGTAAGTGAGGCATGATATTTTGTTTACCTTAATTTTCCCATAACAAATATTTGCTATTTTGCAATGTTGTGCTAAAATAAAATCAGCATTAAATGTACCGTCTGACAATATATTAACAAAATTTCAACTGATAAGGATTCAAGGTTCTCTGCCATCTGCTAAATGGGTTAAGTCACATATTCCATGTATGCACCAACACTCACAGCTGTATTTAGAAATATTGTACATGATATCCTTGTTCAATTTTCCAATGGTAAATGATGTTTTTTTTTTAAAAAAAAATCAAAGTGCAACTTTAAAAGTTACAAGCTCATTTATAATATAACCGTTAAATGACAGGAGAAATTAGAGATTTCTCACTGTAGACTTATCCAATCATGGTTAGTGAACATTAGTGACAAACTCTAAAAATGTTAAATAACGACAGAAAATGAATTATCAAAGCAGCTCACCATGCAGGTTTGATTTTGTAATAAGACTTCCAGCAACAATGGTATTCTGGTATCCTAGTTTCAGTGGAATCAAATCAAATAAAAATCTATTTAAAATCTATAGAACTGAGATCTAGAGCAACAAGAAAATAAGAGCCCATAAAACTGTTACACCATTTAAAACATTCTAATCATTTAATTTTTAAAAATAAGGCCTTTGTTTGAGCAATCCTATTTATGAAGGATTAATTCTTTCAATGTGAATGACATATATATATAAAAAATTAACATTAAAAATTACTTTTTCCTGTTTTACCTTCAAGATCCTCAAGTTCTTTAGGTTTGGCCCAGCGAGATTCTTTTGTTTGAGAATTATAATAGTAAGGTTTTCCAGAGTCAGATTTGTACTCCTTCCAAGGGCATTTAGATAAAAGTTGCTAAAGGCAAATGAAAACCTTCGGTTAACTAATAAAATTAGCATCACTCTTCATTCACATCACTGTTTTTACTAGATATTCTCAATCTATACAGTTCTAAAGCTTATGAGATGATGGTAATATAAGCTATGAATGATAAGATACTAAGTGATGTTATTTAAATATACTATTTAATCTTTACTGTAATATTGAAACATTTATACAATTGTTCCATTTATACTGTTACTTAGAGAAAGTAATCTGTCTAAGGTAATATACCTAATAAGGGGCAGAGGCAAGACTCAAAACCAAGCCTATCTGAATTTCAAACCCTACGTGCTCTTGCCATTTACACCCCACCACAGGTAAAAAATTAGCACCCATATTTCACAAATAAGACTTCTCAAATACTAATATAAGTAGGAAAAACACAAAACTTGGGAAAAGGCAAAATCTGGTTTAGTCATGCTTAGATTTCAGTTTCATTATAATTTATTACAAACCTATGTGAATTACCTTACGTAAGAAAACAATGTAAGTATGATATATTTAAAACCTAATATATAAAACCAGTTAGGGTGGTATGAGAATGCTACTGAAAACTCAAATCTAGACAGAGCGTCTTGGGCAAATATTTAACTGAGATACTATGTCACTATTGGGATAAATAAAAAATTATAATATCTACAAACCTCTCCTCCCAAGTACTGCTGTGCACATTAGTGTGGTGGCCTGGAAAATACTTTTACCTCCTCAAATTCCTTAATTAAGAGGGGAGAAAAAAAGATATGCTGCCAACTAAGAAAAATCTTAAGTATAGTCTGAAATGCCACATCAACTCTTACTCAGGACTACAGAGTTCCTAATTAAACCACATGCAATATTGCTTACTCAGTGTATTCTTTCAATCTTTCTTCCATTTCTGTATATTCTGAATGGTAAAATTTCCAACACAAAATTAAATACACATACTTTTTGCAGGGCATTTTCAAAGGGAAAACTTCCCCCTCTAACAGAAGGAAGTATTTTTATTTGTGATTTGTTATTATTTTTTTTTAATTATCCCTTTCACCCTCCTCCCTCCCCCCTTCCCCTCTGGTAACCACCAATCCAATCTCTGTCCCTATGTGTTTGTTTATTGTTGTTATTATCTA